TAATCAGAACGGGTCAGGAATGAATGAGCGTGTTCAGCATGAACCTGGCGTGAAGCATGGAGGTGGAGGTGTCATGCTGTGGGGAGCTGAGCAGTTCACCTTGTCAGCAAATATCTGAGGAAAACGTAAAAACACGAAGGCAAAAGCAGAGCTGTGTTTTCCCTCAGTTGTTTTAAAGATGCTGTTCATTTCAAATATGATATAAAAAATGTACGTTTTGAAATTGGGCCTCTGTCTCTTTAAGAAGCTCCTCCTCTTTCTGAATTTCCCAAAGTGCTTGCAAAATGGTTTGTTCGGGAATTAGACAGCTACATTGAAAAGAATAACATGTTGAGTGAGAGTCCATATGGATTTAGATCAAATGAATCTACATCTCTCGCATTATTAGAATTACGAGAAGAAATTACAAAAGCAATAGAAAGCAATATGCAGGTACTGGACCTTAACAAAGTAAAAATATGTCTTAGCATTCTTAACACTCCGGACTTTAAATAAAATAAAAAAATGTGCAGTGTGGGGAGCAGCGCTTTGCAACACCTTACTGTCGTGAACTCTTCTTCAGTAATGAATTATCTAATGCGTCGCTATTTCAAATTAAAGCTACTGATCCAAATCACTGTTCGTTAGTTTTTTCTTTTGTAATGTAATTTTATTTCTTCTTGGCGGTCCAAACCAAACAGGCTTGAATTTAAAATTAAATTTCTTTTAAGCCTGTTAGATTTCAGTATCAAAATTACATTTGGTCAAACCGACATTATCAGTTCAGTTTGCCTGGTTGGTGCAGGCGGTGTTGCATTCATGTGCCGGTTTGATTTGTCCGTGTTGTGTTCAGGGCCTGTAGGACGTGACGCCGATGTCGTGCCTGCAGCAGTCTCCCACGGATCGATAATCCAGCCCTGATGTGTTTCACATAATTAGAGCTGCAGATATGAAACCAGCGGCGCATTTTCTCTGCTTCTTGCCACAAATTGATCTATCTGAAGGAATGGGATTGATTTTCCCTGGGAAACGAGCCGCTCTCTGCGTCCTGCGGAGACCAAGAGGCTGTTTGGACAGTGTGTGTCGCTGCCAGATTAAATCAATAGGAAACAAGACAAAGTGTCCGACGCCTGGACGCCGCGCTGCAGGTGGAGCTGAGGGTTTTCTGTCCATCAGCACCGTCACATGGACTTCTGGAGATACGGCGGAAACAACCACAGCTGCACTTCCTGTCGCCATATTTGGAGTTTGGCTCACTTTTCAACTAAAGAATGAAAGATAAATATAAAAAGCCATTTGTAAACATAGAATAATTTAAAAAATGATAATAATAACAGGAATAATTTGTGTTATTTAATCTGTCGCCAGAGAAAAAAAATTGATTTCATTTTTCATCATGTTATTCATTTATAAATGTCACAGTTTAAATAAATAGTTCAATGGGCTAAATATTTAGTTTAATATCAAAATATTACTACTTTTACCTCCAATTTAAATATTTAATGAGCTCTAATTTAAATATTTAGCAAAGTATTAGGCTGGCTAACTAATATTAGTTTGCTGATTTCAAACTAAATACTTAGTTTGAACCTAAATATTAGGTTAATGAACTAAATATGTTGTTACCTACATATTTAGTTTGGCTAGCTGTGATTGAAATATTTAGCTACCAAACTATATATTAGGTTTGCAAACTAACAATAGCTTGCTAGTTTGAAAATATTTAGTTTTAGCTTAAATATTCAGCCAGCTCTGATTTATATGTTTAGCTGCCAAACTAAGTATTTAGTTTGCTAAACATTTGGTTTGAATCTAATTGGCTGCTTTGCAAGCTGAATGTTTAGCTCAGAGTTGAGCATTTACTGTTTTTAGTTTTAAAGCTGAAACTAGCTAAGCAGCTCCAACCTAAATATTTAGTCATGAGGTAAATATCCACTAAGGTCTCCTCTCATTTGTCTCCGTCCTCCTCTCATATTTAATGTTTGACAGAAATAAAAACCAGATTTGACCCTGTTAGCTCATCACACCTGGATTAGAAACGCTGACTGTGCTGAAACATGTTACAGATTTTAACAGATTTGAGTTGAATTTACTGAAGCTAACACTGGTAGCTGCTGAGTCCTCTTACAGTCATGGTGGATCCACGGTGGATGCATCAATCAGCAGAGGCAAACAGGAACGCCTCCTCCAGAAAACCAGGGAATGTCTGGATGCCTTCAGACTGGTGATGGTGCTCTGTGTGCGAGGAAGGAACTGCTCTCCAGAAGCTTTTCAGTGTCAACTAAAAGGGTGATGACTGAGAGCCAAATCCTCTTACACTCCAACCAGCGTTGACCCGCCTGGATGCTTCCTGTGCATCTCAGCTGAAATCCTCCTCAGATTTCTGACGGCTCTCATTTCCTCCGTCTCTTTAAGAACCTGGACTGAGGAGTGAACAACGTTCACCTCCAGCTCTTCTGCTGTGGAAAACATTGAACATAATGTTTCCTAACATACCATTAAACTCCTTCCTATTTCCTCAGGTGGAGAACTTCTGTTTTACTACGGCAAATCAAAATGCTCAATTTCTGCTTTGCTTGTTCATTAAAAAGCTTTTAGATTTTAATTCAATTCATTTGAAAAATTCCTTATTTATCTCCAAAAGGAAATTAAATGACACTGTAACTCATTTCATCCAGGAGTCTCCAGTGGCAGTCAGTGTTACAACCAACCTGAAAAGGCCTCTGACTGAAGACTGCTGCTGTTTGAAGGTCTCTTGACTCTCATGACACTGACAGCTCAACATCCAGCTAGCAGTAGAATATAATTAGCAATCAGTTCTAATTCACCTCATTTTCTTTGCTGTTCCTCTTTAAACCTCCGTGTGGTTGTTTATGGAGCTCCTTCAGAAATGTGGACGCTGACATTAGCGTTAGCTGCTTCATGTTTAACATTGAGTTGCTTTAGGCTATCATAGCTTTGCTGACAGGCTAACTCCTTTTAGCGCAAGTTGAACTCAACAATAGTCTGGTCGAGCATCCACTCACATCGTTTAGAAGCAGAAATTAGCAAACGTTTGGACAAGAGAAGTGTCCATTGCTGCTAGCGGCTGTAGCTTGTGCATCAGTCTTAAGGGCCACACCAGAAACGCATAAACACAAAGGTTCCATCTCGACTTTTTTAATGTCAAGAAGTTTGTCATTATTGCATTTCAGCCAATGTGGTTTAATTAAACATTAAAGTCATTAAAGTCTGAGCCCTAAAAAAAAATCCATTAAAAATCTTTTTAATTTCTGTAAATACTGTGACATCACACCGCTTTTACGTGAAGGTTATTAAAGTATTTCAGGTTCTTCTCTGAGAAGCTGCAGTTCCTGTGGGTTTGTTAAAGCGGCAGGTTTAACTAAATAGAAATCGTTCAGATTGCTGCAAGAGTCATCCCAGGAGACACACACACACACACACACACACACACACACACACACACACACACACACACACACACACACACACACACACACACACACACACAACCTGTGCTTTTCATGTTTTTAGCTCGTTAACTTCAAGGTGTGAAGAATCCGGACTGATCTGGAGTTCAATCCATTATCCGTCCACTCAGCCTCAAAGTAGAGAGACGGGAATCCATCAGAGTCAGTGCTGCTCTGGGATCTGAACACCAACTCCTTAAAGTGTTTGTGACAACTGCAGTGCTGTGAAGCGTTTCAGCTGGCTGTGCTCCACACTGCCAACGTGTTTCCCTTCCTGAATAAAGCTGCTTTGAGCAAAGCTTTCATTTAGGGAAGTTTCAGCTCAGACATTTTGATTTGGCCTCCTCCTAAAAAAGGAGAAAGTTTTCAAATACAAGGTGATAAAGTGTGGACGTTAGTCACCATCATGCATATGGAGGATCCGGACTTGTAAAAGTCACTTCCATATCCAGTGGGAACACAGGGGGCGGACATGTGAATTGCTTGTCTCAATGAATAAATATCTGAGCTCAATGAGCGGTGACTCATTTCATAGAGCGCAAAAGGAAGAAATTGTGTTCGCCTCCGATTTATCAGGCTGTCAGTAAAGCTGAATCAGCTGCCGGCTCCACCAGATGTCTTATTGTCAGGACGCTCTCCGAGACAAATTTAGAGTCAGACTTTCTCTGAAGAGGAACGCTCATGTTCCCGCTTCCTCAATGGCGACTGTCCAATGACAGCTTCTGGGCTCTTCTGTTACCTTTAGCTTCTCTTAGCAGGAGAAACTGAACCATTCGGTTCAGTTCATGATGGACTGTTACACGGTTTGATACTCCTGTGAGGTTAAAGTCAACAGCCAGGATAACACTGATGTGATGCAAGCTAATAACAAATGATGCTAATGCTAGCAGGAAGAGCAGCTTAGCAATGACGAGGCTCCTGCTGTTGACATGTTGGCACAAGGGGCCCTAAACAAAAATCTGCCCAGGGCCCCAAAAGGCTAAATATTTAGTTTGTAAGCCAAATATTTAATTTGGAGCTAAATGTTCAATTTAAACACTAAAGATTTAGCTTCAAATGAAGTTTTTGCAAATTTAATTTCAAATTGTGTAATTATGGTCGATGCAAACACAGATGGCGTCTGGTTTAGACTCTCTTGTTAGTGTTTGTCTGTTTTCACAACTTCTTTTATAAAAAATAATTGCATTTCCTGAAGCTTTTAGAAATAAAAAATGACTTACATCTTGAAGTTATTTTTTTTCTTCCTCTGTTCAACCATGTTCAGTTTTGTGTGAGTTTGCTGCCCTCTGCTGGCCACTGAAATCCAAAAAGGTCCAAATAAATCTTCACAACAGAAATTTTCCTGCTGCTGCTTTTATCTGGTAGAATAAATTACATCAAGTCAAGATTCTGACCTTTGACCTAATTTAAGAAAAACAATGAGCAGCTGTGTTTGTTTTTTATGACCAAACATCTAAAGAGATGATAAAGTTTCTCATTCCTGCCACTTAGTCAACATTATTGTAATATTAATATCAGAAAACTGAAACCAAAAGACGAGACAAGTTTAACTGACATTTAATTTTTATTAATGTTTCTAAAAGTACAGCTCAGACAAATTAAATCCACAGTTACAATACCGTTACAGTACTTTAGTGAAGCATACCGAATGAAAACATCCATGCAGATTAAAGCAGAATACTGGAGCCTAAATTCATCTAGGATACAGTGGAATTACCAGATTAACCTAAGATATTCTAGAGCAAAGCAAAGCGGCAGAATGAGGTGAAATCAGAAACATTCAGCGTCTGCTAAACACCGACTAAAAGCTTCAACTCGACCAGCGGTGGCAGTAAACATTGATGCTGTACATGTTATCTTCTGTAAGGATTTTCACACCGTGGTGATGAATATTAAAGCAAAGCAACGACCTTAAAGGAAATGTGCAACTTAGAGCAACTTGGCGCCGAGACAATCAGACTGCTGCTGAGCCAATAAACGGGAAGTTTACCCCTCTTTAGTCTAAATAAAATTCATTTATTGTTTCAGATTAATAACTTAAATCTGAAGGGTCACCAAAATATCAAGATGAGACATTTAAAAAGAAGCTGAAAGGTTTAACAATCTTTGGTTTCTTTCCTGATACCTTGCAGTGAAAGTATAAAAATTTAAATGTTGAATTTAGTTATTTTGTTTTTAATGATTTCTGGAGACACAAACAGATTCAGTTTGGAGAAACGTGGCGAGTCAAGCTAATGTTTCCATCTGCTGCAGGTAAGATACTGACTGCTAACAGCTCCACATGACCACACTTCAGTTAGTCCAAACTATCGCTTTGAAACATGATTAAACTTTAACTCTGAAGTCCTGATTTATCTCATTTACATGGTTACAGTTAAAACTATGTTCCTCCAGAGGAAACAAACAAAACAAAGTAAAAAAATAAAAAGTGACCCAGTTAAAGTTATCCTTACATTTTATAAAGTTTTTATTTTTCTCTTTTAATAGACCTTTGGATGTCTGTTAAATATTCAAAAAGTACTTTTAATATGTCAACATCCATCTGATTAAATGTTCAGTCATATTGACTAGTTTCATTTCCAACAAATTCTAATTTGATAACTTTAACACGTTTTTTTAAATATCTTATCTGAAGATATGCACACCGGAGAGACAATGACCAGAACAGATCTGTTTAACCTTTGACCTCTCGGTGTGTGTGCAGCAGCCTGACCTTCAGCTCCGACCCACAAAGCGAGACAAGCAGGCACGCGCGGCGCGTTCACAGAAACCAAAGGAAATTATTGCTTTGGTTGAAACAACGATAGAAACATTCAGGAAATGAAACAGATTCAAACATTCAGAACAGAAGAAAATGTGCAAAAACTCTGAGATGTGAAATATTTATAAGTGACTCAACTTTCATATTGAAATATTGAAACACCATTTAGCTTTTTTTGTTTGTTTGTTTGTTTCTTTGTTTAGTGTTTAATATTGAGCTACAAACTAACTGCTGCTGAGTGTTTTTGGCAAGAAGACGTCCCTGGTGTTCAAGTGTCCAGAAAATGTACATTACAATCTATGGCAGTTTCAGTAATACAGATACAAGGTGAAGCAGCTCATTAAGTTCATAAAACCACCAGGAGCGTTTCCTCTAAATACACCAGAAACACAAAACGTGTCGCTAGCGGCACGTCGACGTCCCAACAGACGGCTTCTACGAATGAAATGATGAAAACGTTCATGTCTGAGGTGAAACGGCTGCGATACAATCGACACGATTCCTTAAAGCAACGATGAAACGGAGAGAAGCAGCTACAATCGCCAAGGTCGTCCTGATGCTGGTGGTCTGAGCTGCAGCCGGAGGCAGTGAATGAGACAGGAAGGTCAAACTGATTGAGGGAAATAACCACATTATAGCAACTGCACCTGGCGTTAGCACGATGCTAACTCCACCCTAACGGATACTTTCCACACTTTCTGCTGCGTTTGAACTTCTCGTCCACATGCTAACCGCTAACTGAGTGTTTTTTGTTGTTAAACTTATTACTGTTGAAATGGACCACAGGGATCTGGGCTGAACTCTGGATTTATTTGGTAAAAAAGTTATTTTATGTGTTTAAGGTTCAGTTCTGTTGGTGAGGAGTGAATGCTAAGCTAACTCTGGTCCTCCAAGTGAACTCTGATTCGGTTTGAATGCTTATAAGAACACCAAGCGGACCAGAGACCGCTCCAAAAGCAGGAAGTGGACTTCAGCGCAGGGCATTCTGGGAAATACAACGACAACAAACACGCTAAGCCGGCGGGAGAAATGGCTCGTGGTTTTTGGCCAAAGACAAGGTGCAAATACGCGGCAAACAGCAAAACACACAAAGAAAGACGGGATGTCCAGGTGACCGACAGAGGAAGAATGAAGAGGTGTGCTATGTAGGAAGGTAACATTACAGACTCCAGACTCCCCCTAGTGTTCTGGAGGACTTCAATTTTTGTTTTGCTTTTTTTTTTGTTTGGCAGCATTTCTCCGTCACATTTGTTTTTTTGTTGTTGTTTGTGTGTTTTGGAGTTTGCATTGTGATGCTTGAACCTCTCTGCCACTAATTAAAGTAATTGAAATAAAATGTGGACCGACATGTCAGCCAGACATGCAGACAACGTGGAGGCTAGAGGGCGACCAGGAGCAGGCGGAGCGCCGGGGACGGTGAGCTGCTGGCAGTGACGACGTGATGCTAGCTGGGAAACGCCTCCGGCGGGTCGGGGAATCGTCAGCGTGACGCTTCGCCGGCCCGCTGGAGGTCGTCTGGGGTTCGGGGGGTCACAGGTTGACCAGGTGGAGGTCGGAGGCGGAGAAGTGGGGACACAGAGCCATGTCCGGGTCCTTCAGCTGCCGCAGGATCCGCCGGTGGAACTTGGAGCGGACCCGGTTGAACTCCATGATGTCACTGGGATCCTCCTCAATCCAGAACCGCTGGAACTCCTGCATCAGGTAACCTATTGATTGAATGAATGGATGGATGGATGGATGGATGGATGGATGGATGGATAAAAATATTGGGTTATTTTTTCTCCATCATATTTTCACCATCATTAATTTCCAAAGATCGATGTTTCAAAACTATATATTTAATAAGCAAGATAAATGTTTTGTTTTTAGGCTAATTATTTAGCTTCAAACTAAATATTAGCACAGAGCTAATTACTTGGTTAAGAGCTAAACATGTTTCCTAGCTAAACATTTAGCTCCATACTAACAATATATAGCAAGCAAGCTAGGTGTTTCATTTGAGGCTAAATTTAACATGCTAAGTAAATATTTTGTTTCAAGCTAAATATTTAATTGGAAAGTTAAATCTTTCTCATTAAATATCTAACTCATTAACTATTTGGTCAGAAAACTAAATATTTAGCTTGATTTGATTTACATCAAACTAAACATTAATCTAGTCAACTTAACAACTTGGTGAAAATTTGACTTTGAGAATTGATCTCCATGTTTTTCTCTTCTGAAAGACTAAACAAGCCAAATTATTTCTGTCGATTTTTCATTGTGTATCAAAAAGCACTCATCATTTTCCAGTTTTTAAGAAACTGAGTGTCTCATGCTCCAATGCAAACTCCTACATCCTCTGTGCCTCTACTGTAGAAACTTTTATTTATTACTGAATAGATAATTAACAATATTACCTCAATTATGAGCCAAAATATGCTTTTTTTTAACAAGATGACGACTTTTTTGTTACATTTTTCAGTTTTGGTCTTCACTGCTTTTGTTCTTGTTAAAATGTTATTGTGCTCACAGAAGATCTGCTGGAAGTGCTGCAGGTCGGCCATCTCCGGCGCCACGTTGTACAGGTGGGTCTTCAGGGCGCCGCTCACCAGCAGCGAGTAGGCCAGGTCCGTGATGTTGATGCCCACGATGGCGAACGAATATCTGGACGGAAACAACAGACGGACGGCAAGCCACGATCACAGGATCAGAACCCAAAGTTTGGACCAGTAAACCTGAAGCAGAACATTCTGTCTGAACAGAGTCTGCAGCAGAACTTCTTTGCTCCCCCAACCTTCAGGTTCCCTGAACGCACCATCCTTTTAAGAAGCACTCACATCCTGGGAACTAGTTACATTCACTTTTTGAAAAAAATAATTTTCAGGAGTATTTTTTCTACCACTTACTTTTTACTTTTATGTGAGTAATGATGTTGTTATGAAGTATTTCTACTCTCACTGAATGAGAGTTTAAACTCACCAGGCACAGAAACACCTGCAGTTTTTATTAAAGTTTTTTTACAGGAAGAATAATTTTCTTTTGCCAGATTTTATTTTTTGTTCCTTACATGAATTATTTGTCATTTTTGTCCACCAAAATTTCCACTGAATTTTATATTTTGGTCCATCTGATTATGTATTTTTTTGATTGATGATTGATAATTTGATCAGTTATCAGTACTTGAGCAGAGTTTTTACCAAATACCTTTTAACTTTGATTTGAGTCATTTCTTGGCTTATTTTTACGCTTGAGTATAAAATTTGGGAACTCTGCCACCTCTGCAGCTAATAAACTTTTCATATTTTTTTCATGTCATTTATTGTTTTTAATTTTTTGTGACAGACCAACGTAATGTGAAGGACAAAGTTCCAGAAAACTGCAGAGATGCTGAAACACAGAGTTCATTTAACTAAAGGCTAAAACTCAATATTGAGCTGCTTTTGAACCACAATTAACGGCTCATCAATTAAATCCACATTTTGTTCTCAAATCTACGACTACAATGTTTTTGTGACTTTTTATTTTCGTGTTTTTATGAAGTAAATCACTTTTTGCTGCAATGTGCTGCACAAATAAACTTAACTGATTGACTAATCAGTTAAAACATTTGAAAAGCTTGAACCAGCTGAGCTGAACCTGCGGGTAAGACACTGACCGCTCATATCCGCTCCACTGACTCACAGAGACTCACCCGATGGCTTTGTCAGGGACCTTCTGCTCCCAGTCAGGCTGGTTCAGCTCACTGTGGACGACATGCCATGAGTCACGGTGGGAAGCATCACACACACACACACACACACACACACACACACACACACACACACACACACACACACACACACACTGTAAGCTGCTTTACATGAACTGGTTCACAGACCTGTAGTAACTCTGAGCTGGGATCGTTTTAACGATGCAACATGAGCTAATAAATATAAATGATGCAATAAAGTATCAGAGGTTCTGGTAATAAAAGTCGCATTTTGAGCTGCGGCTGCATCAGAATATTTTCAACTGATGAACCAAACACACTGGAGAAAGCGATCCAGCTTTTTTGCTTTTTTGTCACATTTAAGGCTTCAAATGATTTCAACATCTAGCAAATATAAACCTGAGGCAAGTAGTTACCAGCTACATCTACTCAGAAAGAAAAAATACTTGCAGGAGTATTTTTTACTACAATGTAATTTGCACTCTTAGTTTGTTCTGCATGCAGTGAGTGAAGAACAAACATTTGGTTTTAACCAAAAAAGCACAAACTAAGAGTTTATGTCAGAGTGAGACCTCTTGTTTCTATACCAGCTTTGTTGTTTTAATGTCATTTTCCATCTGCTGAAATTTTTTGTGGCTTCAGGAAGTCAAATAAAAACCCAAACACCATAAACTTTCACCTGTTAGCTAACAAAGGTGGTAACAATCAGGCCAGATTATTATCATTCTATCTCTGATATCAACATTTATTTGACGCTCTGAAACATTTAAATGTGACAAAATGCAGAAACAAAACAAGTCTGTATTTTGCAGCTTTCTTTTTTAAACTTTAGACCCTTAATCAACCGAGAAACTGTCTAAATACAGAAGATCTTTATGAAACACGACCCTGAAGGACAAATTAATGAAAGGTCAATGCAAGTGAATGAAAGTGGAGGTCAGTACCTGGGCTTTCTGTGAGAACTCCTAGATGGACAGAAAGTAAAGGAGTGCGCAGAAATGAAGGTGGAGAGCAAAACAAACAGAAGAATCTTCATTTGAGAAATGAGACGAGTCAGTGAGAAGCAGCAGCAGTCAGAACAGTGAGGCAGCGATGGCATGGAGCGAAGCGGGCAGAGAGATGGAGGCTGGTCTGACTTTAACTAGCCGGTAACACAGACTGATCTCAGGGCAGGAAACGTCACGCCAACGTACTTGTGCTTTGGCTGCAGCGAGTCCTGGAGCATCTGCAGCGCCGCCGCTCTGTCATGTTCTGCAAAATACCTGCAGAGATCCAGAGCAGGTGGACAGACGCTCAGCAAGGCAAACACTGCAGCTGGCTTCCTCTGCAAACCGACATGGAGCCAGCGTGTTTTCAGATCAACAGCTATAAACTAACAGGAGCCATTTGGGAAAAACACAGGAAGAATCAACAGGAATAATTTCAGTGAATTAGCCTGTTATTAGAGAAAAACTGTCAGCCTCTCGCTGTTTTCATTCATTTCTAAATGTCATTTCTAAATTAGCTTGTAGACTAATTATTTAGTCTACAAGGGAAATATTTAGTCTACAACCTTAATATTTAGTTGGAAACTAATTATTTAATTAGCAAGCTCCAACTAAATTTCTGAACCCAGAACTAAATATTTAGTTTGAGGATAAATATTTAGTTAGCAAGCTGCAATTTAGTTCACAAAGTTTAAAACTGATATCTAGTTTGAAGTTTAATGTCTGGCTAAAAAGCTTGTATTGAACTTTCTATCTCAACGTTTAGCTCTGAGCTAGCTAATTTAGCCTGTAAGCTAAATATTTGTGAAGCTAACGGTGACATTTCTAAATGGATGAATAACACAAACATGAGTTTATACTCCAGTTTTTGCCTCTAATTGATTTGAGTAATTGTTGTTAGTTTGACTCTGTTTCCAGGCGCCGCCCCGTGTTGAGACAGTGTGTTGGTTTCTCGGTTCTGAAGCTTACAGCAGGTTCTGCAGGCCCAGCAGGCCCATCCCTCTGAAGTCAGTCTTGGGATCGTTGCCTTGGAAACCGATTTCACACCACTGCTTGGAGATGCGTCCGGTGAGGGGCGTGTCGGGACGCAGCTCCTTCCACAGCTACGACACAGAACCAGAAGCTCGCAAAGCCATGACATCATCATCTGGGCTTCCCCAAATACTTTATAGGTGCAGCGTAATCAATAAACCAATTGAATGTTTCCTCCCCCCAGTCTGGGTTTCCCCAGCTGTACCTTCATCAGCATGCTCTCATGCTCGGCGTTTTCGGAGTCGTACGGCTCCCTGCGGAGCTTCTCCACCTCGGCCATCAGGCTCCGGTAGCCCGTGATCTGCAGCAGGCTGGCCTGCAGCGAGACGCCCAGCCTGGAGGCACAGAGACAGGTGGGGTGACCTCTGACCTCAGTTACCGCTACGCTCAGGATACAACGGAGTCGTACTGCGGGTTGGTGTCCGGGTTGATCTTCTTCAGGGCCATGATGTCGTCGATGGTCTTCTCCACCTGGTCAGGATGGACGCTGAGGGCCGACCGCAGCAGCTGCACAGGAGGAGAGGGAGAGCATGAAGAGGACAGGTGGAGGACTGGTGGGCTTATTGATCCGACATGGTGGGACTGCAGTACCTCGTACTTGGAGTAACGCAGGGACGACTCTGAAAGGAGAAACATTGAACAGCGTCAGTGAAAATGATGAGACCAAATAACTGATTATTATCCTGTTGATGCTGCAGGTCACTCAGGGATCAGGATTTTAAAACTGAATTTTCCAAACAGTAGAGACGGAAACAGAGATTCAGGTTTTTCTCAATATTCACGGTTGGTTGGAGCTTTTTTGAATACAATCTTGATTTAAAAACATATTCTTGTTTTTATTTAATTGTTTTTATTCCTGTCAGTTTTAAGTTTTATGTATTGCATTTTACAGTAAATCTAGTAACTTCAGTGGTTATAAAAATGTTACATATATCTAATATAACTGAAAACTTATTTCATTTCCAGATTTAACTCCTTGAAATTGGGTTTCTGTCTCTTTAAGAAACTCCTGCTCTTCCTGAAGCTCCACCTCCAGGAAGTCATCCCAACATGGCGCCTCTATTAACCCTTTGACATTTTTACCAGCTCTGTTCTGAGCAGCAGCTGAGTGGTAGATGACAGCAAACTGCATATGTTTGCTAATTGCTGCTGGCTAGTCTAGAGGAGCTGAGCCTTGAGGGCAGGGTGAGGTTCACCCAGGCATTTAAACAGCTGAGTGGTTGCAATGAAGATTAAAGAATGAAAGAATCAAAGCAAAAGTGCAGGTTTGTTTTTTGATGAGAGAACAACATCAAGTTGGCAAACAGGGCAGCGGCGTGCCGGTACGGCGGCTTGCCGGTACGGCGGCTTGCCGGTACGGCGGCTTGCCGGTACGGCAGCGTGCCGGTACGGCAGCGTGCCGGCCCACCTATCTTCAAAGTCCTGCGTGCTCCCGGCTTGTTGCTATAGCAGATCCTCTGCAGCTCACAGCGGCCCGTCAACTTCCTGGTGACGAACTTCAGACCTCGCCACAGACATTTACAGTAGAGGAAGGCGAAGAACTGGGTCACCACTCTGCAGAGGAGGAACAAAGAAAATACACAGAGGGGCACATGAAGTCTGAATCTACAGATTTTATCATTATTTCATGTTTAAAAGGTGAAAATTATAATAATTTGCCACTAAAATAATGAACATTGTTCATTTTTTATTTATTTATTCTAGCTTTAGTTGCAAGCTGGAAGAGTTTTATTCCTTTCAGGAGTTATCACTTTCAAAGTTATTGGTTATTTTATCTCCGTGTTATAAATGAAGAACAGAAACTAAAATAAGAGCTGAAAGTCTCTTCTGTTCATGCCAAGTTAGTTAGCTTTAGCGCTGCAGCAAAAAGGCCCAGCAGCTGCTGCAGAAAATCAGACCAGAGCAGCAAGAGTTTAGATTATAGAAAATAAATACTGAGGGCTAAATTATTACTATTATTATTATTGAAATAATACATCATGGCTAAAAATTTAAATTTTCAGCATATTAAATGTTTATTTTAGAGCGATAAGTGTCTTTTAACTGAGAATAAAAAAATGTGACCAGAAAAAGATTTAGAAATTATTTTAAACTGGTTAAAAACTAAAAGTCCTCTATGTGTCATGTTATGTTTTATTACGTTATAAGATGTTATATTATCTGTTTATTGCCTTTTAGATCTCTAGCAGTGTGAACATGTTCTCTGAAATCGGCTGGATTTTATTTACATCCTGCAGTTCAGACACTTTTCGTCATTAATCTGATTCATGTGTTCATCATCCAGAGGCTGAAGAGTCACAGGCCCTGAAATGGAGTCATGATAATCTGGATTGTTCCAGATTAATGACCAACAGATTAAAACAGCCTGATGCTTTGAGCTGAGCGGCTCTTTGTGTGCTGCAGATAAACTCCGTTCATGAATGAATCAGATGTTTTGTTGGCTCGGTTCGCCCATCAGCCGCGCATGTAAAACCCATTCGGTTCGGTTCGGTTCCCTCTGCTTTTCAAGCCTCCATCTTGATTCTTACCGGAGGAAGTGCTTCATCTTGGCGGCTCCTGCTGGCTAGGGTCCGGTCCGGTTCGGTTCGGTTCGGTCGTGGACCTTAGGACAGAGCAGAGCCTCCGTTATTCAGGCCCGGATATCCGGAGCTGTCCGCGGTGCTGACGGGCCTCAGCGCCGAGCCTGATCCCCGGATCCCTGCAGGACCGGTTCGGTTCGGTCCGGTCCGGTTCGGTAGCGGGTGCAGAAGTGAACTGTTTCCTCACCTGTTCTGATGGCACGAGGCGATGCAGCGGAGGGATTCTGCGTTTGTTGCCCAGCTACTGCCTCTGCTGCGCCTCCATGACGGCCGCCGACGGTATGGCAAGCCGTCACCGCATTTAGTCCGACACACTGGAACCGATACGTCATCGATCACCAAGTTCCGTTACTTGGACGCTGGATGGTCGATGTGGAAAAATAACTGTGTGTGAGTTGAACAAAAGTATTCACACCGTTTGAATTAGTTCACAGTTTGTCTTGTTCCAACATGCCTTTCTTCTTCTTTTAAACCAGACATCCTGAAAAGTGCGGCATGCATTTGTAACTACCGTTCTCTGCAGGTTTGGACGGAGAACATCTGAAAGTCTCAGTCTGGTCTTTGACTAGGCCATCCTAACCCATGAATTCTTCCATAATGTGAGGCTGCCGCTTACAGTAACTGAAAAAAACCAACAGCTTTTAACTGAGTTTGAGCTCCTCTGGTAAACCTGAACAACAGGCTGAGCCCAAAATTATTCATATCCCTTTTAGATTTAGATTTAATATCAAAGCTGACCAACAGGTTTCTTCTTACTTGAAATGATATTAACATTCTGAATGAACAGAACCATAGATTCTGATATTATGACAACATTTCTATTTAAATCAATTAAAGTTCCATGAATGAACAATAAGTTTCTTCAGCCACACATTGTTTGATTTCTGCTTCACTGCTGGCTGTTTGATTCTCTCCTGGATTATTTCAGACCTTTCCAGTCGTCGTCCTGTTGTGGAGGTCTCTGATAAATGCTAAAATGACTTGCCGTAGAGCTGGAAGCTGCAGCGCATGCAGACACTGCAGCGGACAGAGACAGACAGACATGCATGCATCATCCCGGCGCTGCATGGTTTGGTTTTGCAGCTCAGGACGAGTCCAGAAAACACGACCATCAGAATCACGCTGGATTCTGGGAAAGGTAATTTAAAAAATAAAATCCTGCCTGGCATCAGGATGTGAGGGTTTACGTCTAATCCCTTATTTTCTCACCACGAGGTGGCGCTGTAGCAACCTATTAAAACGTTTCCTCAGACTTTAAGCCTTTCCTCTGAGAGGAATCTTTACTGTTGTCTATTAAAGTTAATCACATAAAAACCCAGAGATGTTCTGATTTATGGATTTATTATCGGAGTAAAGAAACTAAAATCATTCATTTGAAGCCTGAATTCATCAAACCCACCACTAGAAGGCACCAAATCCATCAGTTTGAACAGGAGACAGACTGCAGATTTTATATTTAATAAAAAAAACAGTAAACTGTGACAGCATGGTAACATGTTCCTCTGATGGCAAAAACTCATTTACAGCATCTTTATCTTTGGTCAATTACTAACAAAACACAACAGAACTTGCAACCACAACAAAAGGCAAATAATTTGGTATTTAGATGACAGACTTTTACACATCCAGTCCCAGATATTTATTGTAAATTCATTTATTATCCTCTTCAGGTGGCGAAGCTTCACTCTATGGATGCACAGGCAAAACAAAAGGGCACTTGGTGGAAAAAGTTTCAGCTCTGATTCACAAAATAAAAACGATAAAAAGCTGTAGAAGATAAACATTCACGCGTTTCTTCATGTAAAGTGCAGCTCAGAGTTACAGATAATATGCAGACTGGCTGAAGTCCAGCTGGAAAGCTGTAGGGATGCACCACATGTTCCCCATTTAGTAAAATATCAGTGTCATATATTTATAAATACATATAAATAATAGGAACATCCAAAATATCAATGCCATCAGTGTCGGCTGAGCGGCCATTTTGTAACGCATCGTATCGGCTGGATGGGAGAATGAACAGCCGATATTTATTTCTGTGTTGTCTGTGTCACAGGAAGGGGCGGGGCTTGTGTCATGTGACTCATCGTGATACAGCAAAGGATTCTGGGATGTCAAACCGAAGCAGGACAAACACCCACTGTTTCTGGGTGTTTGTTCATGAGGTCAAAAGAGACGATAAATATATCAGGTATCAGTTATTGGCAACATAATAGTTTTAATATCAGACATTCATATTGGCACAAACCTGGACATGAAGGTTAATGTGATATTATTAAGCATCGGTTCTCGTTCACCAGACACTGAGATCAGTCCGATCGCATCAGTTCAACTAAATTAATGTTTAGGAACATTTCAGATGGTTTCACCGTTTCATATATTTGTGGTTTTGTTTCATTTTTGGTGATTTTTTTCCACTTTCTGGAGGTAAAAGTATCCGAGACCTTTAGGATGTTTAGTAACAAACTGAAATCAGTTTTCACACGTATTAAGGCAGAAATTGAAAGGTATTTTACAATAATTTACTGTAAGAAATGTGATTTTGTAGAAATAGTCCAGAGAAATACAAACTTGTTCTGCACCCTTTAGGTCAAGAGGAATAGTTAAAGAAGTTTTTAAAATACATAATTATTTTATTTTGTTTGATTAGAATCTGGTTTTTAGTTTTTAGAACCAGCAGAGTGGAGAACTTTAAAAACAGTTTATCTCTGAAACTAAGTCAAATATTGGACCACAAAAATAAAGATCAATGAATGTGTAGCAGCTTCAGCTCACTGGTTCTGAACTGGTTTGTTTACTGGAGGCAGGAAGGGAAGACTGGGCCACATGCTGGTGCAATGAGGAGTAGAGAGCGACAGAATCAGGTTATTATAATGATCCAACCTGCTAAACTTATCGGGAATATTACATATTCTTCAGTAACAACAGTCACATGATTCAGAAACAGAAAAAACCAAAAAGGTCCGTGACCCGGACTGTAAACTGTCTGCCTGGCTTTTGAACAGAAAACCATTTGGTGTAACTCGTAACATAACTGGCCTCCGTTACAGAACCTGGTTCCATCAGAGAGTCGTGAACATCCCGACCGATCCAGTTCTCTGAGCGTCTCCGCCTGCAGCCAGCAGCCGGTCGGCGGCCGGATCGGCGACGTTGTCAGCCTCCTGCGGGCCGGCGCCATCCGGCACGGCGGAGAGCGTCGGCACGGCGTTGAACATGATGAAACCCACGGTGATGACGATGAACGAGACGATGTACAGCACAGAAAACTGAGCAGGAAACGACAGACGGTCCATTTAGTGACAGCGCTGAGGACCAGCTAATGCACCAAACATGCGATACCAGCGATGGCCACTAGGTGGTCGGAGTCCTGAAAGGCCTCACCTGGTAGTTGAAGAGGAAAAGGCCGCAGAAGAGGCTGAACAGGTCGGCGGTGAGCAGCGACAGGTTGACGGCCGTGGCGCTGGTCAGCCTCACCACCACCGGCATGAAGCTGTACAGCGCGTACATGCACAGCGCGTAGACCGCAAACAGCATGACTGCAGCACAACAACACATGGCTGTTACTTAAAAACCAGACACAGGACGCACCATCACCGGTTCACGTAAAGCTGCTGACTTACAGATGTACAGATCCAGTTTTATCGCCTTAACAGCATTGATTTCTAGCGCAGCCCTGAAATCAGAAAGCAGACGAGTAAACGCAAAGATGTAGAAACAGAAGCTCCAACATGGAGGCTGACTGCTCCAACATGGAGGCTGACTGCTCCAACATGGAGGAGCTCTTAAACACTGACTTACAGCTGTGCGCCGCTGATCAGAGTCCCGAACAGTCCCATCATTCCCAGGAACTCGACCCGGCTCAGGTTCTTCACCGTGTGCTCCTGGCACAGGTTGGACACAGCATAGAGGACGGAGCTGAGCAGAACCAAGCCGTCACCCAGAACCATATCACTGGCTGCATGGAGGGAAAACTGGCAGTTAGAAACACTGGAAAACACACCAACTCCAGTAGAAAACTTGGAATTAAATTACTGTAGTGCGGCGGTTTTCAAAGTGTGAGGCGCGCCTCCCCTGTGGGGCGCCAGAGCACTTTAGGGGAGGCGCGGTGCAAGGGAAAAAATAAACCGAAGAAGAAGCTATCCGCTTGCTGTCTACTGATGTGAGAGGAAAAAAATGGACACATTTTTAGTAAACCTGCTCATTCCCTTCACTTCAACCTATCTCTGTGAATGTGGGTTTTCCGCTCTCGCAGAGATGAAAAGCAAATCCCGGTCAGGGCTGCTGGTTGAAGATGATCTGCGGTTATACCGCTCCACAGCGCAACCCCGTATTAACCGGATTTGCGCATCAAAATGTTCCCACTAAAACGAAGGTGAGCTGAACAGTAATTTGCCACTTTAGTTAAAATCATAAATAAAATGAGTTACACATGATTCAGGACCGTGATAGAAAAAGAAATGGTGCGCATAGCGTGCATAAATGTTTTTTTTTTCCTTTGTATGCCTCCGCTCTTTCATACAGCACGCTCTTTTAGCTCGAGATAATTGTTTAGATGAGCCACAAAAGAGCTCCACAATTTTGCAACTTTTATGGTTTTTGGTTTATTTTTTTAATTTCAAGGAAATGTGCAACATTTACAGATGTGTTCCAAAGATCTGACCAAAATGTTTTGTTAAGATGTGAAAACACTGTTGGTATCTCAAACATTAAACTCAGAATCTCAGATGTAACGTTTGTTTGAGAAAACGGATGAAAAATGAGTTTGGGGTTATTCTTATAATTAAATTATTTTTATTAATTATTTTTAAAGGGCATATTTGTCATAGAGAGGCCCTTATAAATAATTAAAATGGGAGGAAATGTTTTAAAATGTTCATGTGTTAAATTTCATTCAGATAAAGTGTCATTTTAAAAGTAATTAGAAGGTGTTTTGTAGTGGCAGTTGTTTGTGTGTGGGTTGATTATGGGGTGGAGGCTGACATTGTGTTCCTTGGAGGGGGGGCTCACCCTTTCATACTTTGAAAACCCCTGCTTTATATTATTTAAATATTAAAGAAGAATACTAATATATTTCTGTCAAAACAAGATTATGTTGTCCCTGGTTATCAAAAGGGTTATTTTTAGTAAATAAACATTTACTTCAAGTCTTGTAGTGACCTATTAAAACTTTTATTAATCCGAACATATAGTTATTAGTAACCTCCGTATAACACTGGGATACAAAGGTTTTATCAAAGATAAAAGTTACTGTGTGATCTTTCTCTTAGTCTTAATTTAGACTAACAAATTCAAGATGAACTGAACAAAAAAAGTGCAATTCAACATGAAAACTGTGTAGAAAAGGGAAAAAACAAGAACAATCCATGAAAGTATGAAAACAGAGAACTTAATCAGAAATCATTTCCGTTACAGGAAGAAATCAATTCTTAGATAAATAAATTGTAATAAATATGAAGCTTTTATGTTGTTGAGCTTATAGTTGTCTGCTTGTATAAAAGAGAAGAACAAGAGGCTTAGAAATGCCTACATCAGTTTTTTAACCAGCTTTATAGTCAGACTGCAAATTATGTTTTGTTTAGGACATTACTTATAGGCTTTGTTTGTCAACCTGGGTTTAATTCCCAGTCCTGGGGAATCTGCTGCATGTCATTCCCTCCTTTCTCCTCCCAATTTCCTGTTCAATCACTGTAAAATAACGGCTACTAGAGTCTAAAACACTTTATTAGAGCCTATAAAACTTTTTACAAAATAAACAAATGGACCAAAAGTCAGAATATGATTACCTCCACATTGTGCTCGTTTCCTCATGTTAACAACTTTCTTCCATTTTCTCTTTTCCTACATAATTAACAGGTTATTTAATACACACACACAATTACACGTCCCCTCCATGGCTGCTATCTTATTGTTGTGGGGGTTTGAGTGTCCCAGTGATCCAAGCAGTTATGCTGTCGGGGCTTCATGCCTCTGGTTGGGCCACCCGAAGCAGACGGGTCCAAGGTGAGGCACCAGACCAAGCGCAGCCAAAGATGCCATATGATCAATAACCATTGGAAACAGGTTGTACTCAACCATACAGGAGATCCTACCCTTACGGAGGCCCTGAGGTGCAAACCACTTCAGCATATTGAAAGCATGATTACAAATTACATAAGCGCCAAAACATGAATGAAGGCACTAAAACGTTGACGAAATGGATCAGGTATGTCCCAGTGGGAGACCTAAGAAATGGCTGATTGCTCTGCGGCTCGTTTTTACTTTGAATCGGAAGTTATTCTGTCTTTAACGTGTTTTTATTAATAAACATGAACGTTCTCGGTGATATTAAAACGCTTTCATTAATGTTGTTGTGCTTTCGTTCATGTTATAGAGCTTTTGTAAATGTGGTTTCAATTTGAACCTCAGGGCCACCGTACACCCTGGAGCCAGGCTGGGCGCTTTGGGAGCCCCTGGTGGCCAGTGGGTGATATGACAATAAAAATCCTTTAATCCCTGAACAATATCAACAATTTGTGCATCGAGAAATACACTTAGCATACATACTAAGGTAAATGTTATTTAATTTGGTTAAGAATAATTATCGTACTATCAATAAATGACTTCTAATGCATGTTGTTAGTTGCCAGAGCAACAATAACACCTTTATCAGCTCAGAGGTTCAAACTGATGAAAAGTGAGGATGGATGCTCTCTGCTAAAATATTCCTCGCCATCTTCCATGTTCTTTCAGCAAACAGTGGAAACAGAGTTGTTTTTGGTTTCTCCACCATTGACCTGCTACTTTATCCGCCATTGAAAGTTTTATTAAAGTTTGTCTGCTAGTCTGCAGCTCATGTGACCAAAGCAGGCGAGGAGGTGAAAGGTCAAAACAGTCAACATTGTCTTGTTGGGAAACCCCAAGATCACTGGGAGTCTTAAAAGATACATTTGATTATTTTAGTTCATTTTTATCTACAAAGAGTGGTGCTGCAAAAGTTTGAACAATCGCAAACGGACTGATTAGTGTGAAAAGATGTTCAATATTATTTTATTTTAAACACTTATTGAATGCTGAAACACCGATTCATTGACATTTTAACAATTGAATTGGTTTTTATCAATGCAACCTGGCACAACATTCAGATTTTTGATCTGGGCCCAAATGGAAATGAGTTTGATGTCCTGACATAAGACAAGAATCATGGACTATTTTGACTGTAAACAAGATATTTGGAGGTGGAATGATGTCACACCGCCAGCAAAGGGAGATTCTGTGATGTCACTGGCGATGCCGTCTGTGATGTCATCAACTGCAGAATTGTATGCAACACAATTCTGCATATTTGTCATTGCTCGCAATACTACTGACCAGTTCAGACGCTCGCAAACTCTTTGAGATATTTTATTGACGATTTCATTGATAGTGTTTTGAGAAAATGTCTCGGCAAGGTGCAAGATCAACGATGATGGGATTTAATCCAAGGAGGGGAAACCACCAACACCCCCAAGGCAGGAGCTCTACTGCTAACCCTGATGTTATGGAAAGAGAGATCCATCGACTTAACGGCCTTTTGAACAAGGAAAAGGCCAAAAGGCTTTCAGTGAGAGAGAAACTGGAGGAAGAGCTCCAAGGGATGGAGTTCCAAGTCAAGAAGCAGGAGGAACTGAAAGTTGGCTATTTTGATCAGGCCTGCAGAGCGAAGGCCGAACTGGAAAGCCTGCAGAAGTTCAGAGACGTGGAAGTCCTGAAATTTGATGAGATCGCTTCTCAGGCTCAGATTGAAGTGAAAGATTTGGAGAAGGAAGAAATACAGCAAAAATATGAACAAGTGAGGGTCTCCTGCTCTCACACAGTTGAAGCTTTTGTGGATGAACTTCATGAAGAGAAAGAGAAGAAAAAGGCCCTAGAGGAAGAAATCGCAATCCTGAAACAAGACCTGGAGCGATGCCAACAGGAGCTAAGGCAAGAAAAAAATAATTTAGAAAACCTCTTAAAAATTAAGGAGCTGACCGACGAACTTAAAGCCGAGAGACAAAGTGCAGAAATCCTGAGAAAGCAAATAACAGAAGACAGGAGATTAAACCTAGAGAACTCAGAGGAGAAAAAGAAGCTCATCGACATACTGGAAATGAAAAACACTGTCCTGCAAGAAACATCAAAAGTTGAGATAAAATGCCTGCAGGACAAACTGAGCAACGTCATGGAAGAAGTAAAAAGTGGACATTTTGTATGAAGACCTCTCAATCAGATATGAAAGAGAAATCAGTTCACTTAAAAAATCAGCAGAACGAAACCAATTTAAAAGTTTTTCTGTGCAAAATATTGTTGAATCTTCGAACGATTTACCGTCAACCAACACGGCGAGTCCTCAAGAAGAAGAGGAAACATCAGTCGGCCATGTTGACCCGATTGATGAATCAAATGACAACATGGATTCAGACGAGGAACAACCTGGACAACCTGAACCACAACCAGAACCAGAACCAGAACCAGACCCAGAACAAGAACCAGAACAAGAACCAGAACCAGAACAAGAACCAGACCCAGAACAAGAACCAGAAGCAGAACCAGAACCAGAACCAGAACAAGAACCAAAACCAGAACCAGAACCACAACAGGAACCGGAACAAGAACCAGAACAAGAACAAGAACCAAAACCACAACAAGAACCAAAACCAGAACAAGAACCAGCACCAGAACCGGAACAGGAACCGGAACCAGAACAAGAACCAAAACCAGAACAAGAACCAGAACCGGAACCAGAACCAAAACCAGAACAAGAACCACAACCAGAACAAGAACCAGAATCAGAACCAGGTTGTTCTAAGGACTCTGACACCATTGAGAAAATCGTGACTCAAGAAGAAAGTGATTTTCAGGATATAGATGGTAAAAAGAAACCGAAAAAAACTATCTGGAAAAGAATAAAAAGATTTCTAGGTTTTAAATCAAAGAAAAACAAAGAATTAGAAGAATAAGGAATATTAATTTGGTATTTATCAAAAACTTTATAGTTTCAAAGTTTTAAAACTTTATGGTTTTAAAACTTTATGGTTCTAAAACTTTATAGTTTTAAAGTTCTAAAACTTTATGGTTTTAAAGTTTTAAAACTTTATGGTTCTAAAACGTTATAGTTTTAAAGTTTTAAAGACTTTAAAGTTTTAAAACAAAGTTTTAAAGACAGAACTTTGTCTTTAAAAAGACAGTTTTTCCCCCGATTGACAATAGATCCTCCCAACCCAACAGAAAAATGGTGGGCAGCACGGTGGCGCAGCGGTTAGCGCTGCGTCTTCACAGAGACCATCTGTGTGGAGTTTGCATGGTCTCCCCGTGTTTGCGTGGGTTTTCCCCGGGCGCTCCGGTTCCCCCCACACCCTCTAAAACATGCAGGTCAGGTCAGTTGGTCACTGCAATCGTCCCCAAAACAGTTTATAAACTCCAACAATGTTCAGTTTTATTGTTAAACTTGTGAAATTAATTGGCATTTTCCCTCCATTTTCCAGGGGTCAGTTGAGAGAGTGGATAGAGGTTTGATAGTTTGGATAGCAGAGTTTGGATAGTGGTTATTTAGTTTGAGACAGTTAGTTTGGTGTTTGGAGAGTTTAGGAGAAAGAGGAGATCAGAGATTTAGGAGCGTGTCTTTTCAAAGGCTGGAGAAGTAGTGTCAAAAAAGAGGAATCGTTTGAAACCAAAAACTGTGGAGAAATTGTTGTTTCTTAATAAAAATGCATGAAATCATCCAAGTTACACAAGCATTAGCCTATTCACTGCCCCCTCCCTAGTTCCACAAGCACTTTCACTGTCCTCTGCCTGATTAAGCCATTTTTCTAGAGCCACGATAAACATTATTACACAACATGCCATATCACATGACACGACTATTTGGAGAAAAATTACACAGAGAATACATTCAAACAATATTTTATTGTACGCATATGTATGTACATAATTTATGTAGACAAATTATTTCGTCCTACACCTTTTGTGACGTCATTCCCAAGAGCCATAATAGACAAATATTCAATGCATCACACGTGTTGAGATACAGCTGGCTGTGATTATACACCTGGCCAGTAGGTGGTTTCGTGAGCACATGAAGCTTCAAGAAATGAACCCTTTCTCGAACCATTTGGATCAAGTGGTTCAATGCCTCATGAGGCTTCATCTCACCATCACTAGTTTTCATACCAAACATGAAAAACGTGATTTAACACGTTTAGACTTTTTCAGGTTCCAGTTAAATTAAGATTAGAGTTAAATCTGTACATGGAATTAGATGATAATTGTAATCATAATTTAATAATCTGGACCGTGAAGAAGCCCAAAGTTGTTGTATCTTTGATAAAACAGGTGTAGCACCTTCTTCCATTCTATGTAAAGAAACTAAAATGGAGGGTGCTGGGTTCCATGTACCTCCCGTACCCCAATTGTTGTGCGGCACCGATTACCAACTTATGACAAATATGACCCAGAGAAAGTTTAGAATTTTAGGCGAAATGGTTCAGCCTAACTTTATTAAAGTGACAGGAAACCTATTAGTTAGTCACCCCTGTAACTTCAAAGTTGAACGACCATTCAATAATATTTACAAAATATAAACATAAGGCAAAAAATATGAAGACATTAATGTCCACCTTTTGATTCCAATGAACCAGAACACAACAACAGTCTTAAACAAATGTAACCCTGGCAGTTGGGTTACTCACGACCTCCAGGAGAGTGTGAAAAAACGTTGCAGGCCTGTTACAAAAACAAAGAGTTGAAGTCCCGAAGAAAAAACCAAAACATTGAGAGCGTTGCACTTCACAAAAACATTGAGAGCGCTGCAAATCCACTGGACTGTGTTCAGTGGATTGAAGTCCCTTGTCCAAAGCGGCTAGCTTCTTTAGCTTGAAGTGGCTAGCTCCTTTAGCTTAGCCGAACTCGTCCGGACTACTCCCGTCTATCTCTCTTGTTCAGTCCCTCTCGCGGCGACCTAAGTCCCTCAAACTTCTTCCGAACTTCGTATTCTCCAGTGTGTTTTTTTTTCTCCCGTTCTCTATCGCTCAAATCTGTTTTCTTCTTCCTTTCTGATCGGTTCGCCTCACCCTCCGCTATTCACCATTTTTCTTCTCCTCACTCCTCTCCTTCTCTCTCCACCCTTCCCTTCTCTCCACCAATCAGGAGTCACGCCCCAGTCGGACTGTATTAATAACCAATCAAATGGCAAAGCCAAATAAAATCCCCTTTATATCGGCGGTTTTTAAAGTGTGAGGCGCGCCTCCCCTGTGGGGCGCCAGAGCACTTTAGGGGAGGCGCGGTGCAAGGGAAAAAATAAACCGAAGAAGAAGCTATCCGCTTGCTGTCTACTGATGTGAGAGGAAAAAAATGGACAAATTTTTAGTAAACCTGCTCATTCCCTTCACTTCAACCTATCTCTGTGAATGTGGGTTTTCCGCTCTCGCAGAGATGAAAAGCAATCCCGGTCAGGGCTGCTGGTTGAAGATGATCTGCGGTTATACCGCTCCACAGCGCAACCCCGTATTAACCGGATTTGCGCATCAAAATGTTCCCACTAAAACGAAGGTGAGCTGAACAGTAATGTTGCCACTTTAGTTAAAATCATAAATAAAATGAGTTACACATGATTCAGGACCGTGATAGAAAAAGAAATGGTGCGCATAGCGTGCATAAATGTTTTTTTTCCTTTGTATGCCTCTCTCTTCATACAGCACGCTCTTTTAGCTCGAGATAAATTGTTTAGATGAGCCACAAAAAGAGCTCCACAATTTTTATGGTTTATTTTTTTAATTTCAAGGAAATGTGCAACATTTACAGATGTTTTCCAAAGATGTGATCAAAATGTTTTTGTTAAGATGTGAAACCACTGTTGGTATCTCAAACATTAAACTCAGAATCTCAGATGTAACGTTTGTTTGAGAAAACGGATGAAAAATTAGTTTGGGGTTATTCTTATAATTAAATTATTATTATTTTTTTTTAAGGGCATATTTGCCATACAGAGGCCCTGATAAATAATTAAAATGGGAGGAAATGTTTTAAAATGTTCATGTGTTAAATTTCATTCAGATAAAGTGTCATTTTAAAAGTAATTAGAAGGTGTTTTGTAGTGGCAGTTGTTTGTGTGTGGGTTGATTATGGGGTGGAGGCTGACATTGTGTTCCTTGGAGGGGGGGCTCACCCTTTCATACTTTGAAAACCCCTGCCATAGTGAACATAAAAGCAAAACGATTATCATGTCGTGGTCCAAAATATTGTAAATAGATCTTCAGAGCAAAAAATGTGACGAACCATCAGTTTTTAAAAAAACAAAGAAATAATTTTTTGATCCAAGAATCACTTGAGTTGTTATTTTTGCTGAAAGTTGAACAGATGCTTTGAAGATTCAGAAATAAAACTGATTTAGAAACTGATAAACGTCCATTTTACCCACTCAAATGACTCTGTCTTTAAATCCTGGCTGGATGCTCTGCGGTTCAAACAGACATTTAAACAATCTCTTTATGTTCTTTTTTTTATTTAGATTTTTTTCTTTCCTTAAAATGCATTATTTTTATTTTTGTGAGGTTACCTTATGTTTCGTGAGAGCACCCTGTAAGTAATATATATAATTATTATTATAAATGCTTATACTGCTACAAACAAGGACGTTGCCATGGTTATTGCTTCACATGGTGACAGACTTCTGGGTATTTACACTAATTTGTATTTATGGAGGTGACAGGGTGAACCAGCAGCTGCGCTCCATTTTCTGTAAATTTGGATTTGTAAAGGAAAGGTGCGCACATCTTTACACATCCGACTGTTGTTGTGCGCCGCACTTCTATAAATTTTTCCATGGTTTTTGATGCATGAGGCCCCAGAACTGGGCTGTTCAGATTGCCATTCAGAAATCAGATGTTGGTCCCACGTGTGCAAAAAGATCTGATTTGTATCGCACTGGACTCCTGTATTAATATAGCCTAAATGTGCACCAGTGTATCAACTTCCCTGTCATGCACTTCATGGTTAACATTAGCTTAACGTTATGAAATCAACTGCAGATGGACAGAAAGCATTTGAATGTTGCGGCAGACTGATTATGTGTGGAAAAATGAGACATGCACAACAACTGCATGCCTCCCAGAAACCATTCTGATACATCAGAGTAAAGATGCAGGTCAGAACTGGAGCAGACATTGCATATATCTGAATGCTGACAGAATCTTTGACCAAAGTGGGTTTTTAAATCCCTGGGTAGAGTGCCGGTCTGTTAGGTCTCCATGTTGCTGCTCTCATTTGTTCTGAGTTTCTCACCAAATTTACTTCATGATCTCACAGCAGAGCTGCAGATTCACCACTTCACCGAGCTGACACTGTTAGCTAACCAGAGTCAGCATCATTGCTCTTCAGCAGTGAAACACCAGACTGAAATCGTCCTTACGGGATCCCTGGTCCCTCCCGGCAATGATGTCGGCCCCCACCATGGCCCCCACTCCCAACAGGCACACCACCACGGCTATGAAGTGCAGCGGTCTGTAGCGCGTCTTCAGGAAGATCCACGAGAGAACCATCAGCACCGGGATCACGAAGCAGTCCAGCAGCTGGAACCGCAACAAAGGGAACACATTGGCCGATAAAAATTTAACATTTTTCAGTTAAAATTATTTCTGGTTCATTTGAAATGTGAACTATTTAACTTTTCCGCAGTACTTGAAAAGAAACGCCTTAGATAACGACAGTTTGCTGCAGCTGCCTGCGTTTCCTCTGTACCTGAATGCTGGTCAGAGTGGTGAACTGGTACGCCTTCACCACCGTGTAGTTCGCCTCCACATCAGCCAGACCCATCACCAGATACTTCCACCACTTGGTTCTGAGGATCTTCAGGATGTTGGTGTCACCTGCAGGAACACGTTGGCAGACAGACACCATTTTCTCCCAGGTTTACAGAAAAACACAACAACTTTCCACACAGAGCAGATCCACTATTCAGTAAAAATAAAATAAAAATAGTTTACCCGGCAAATAAATCACTACAGTTCTGTTTTCTTCCACTAAACGGTAAGTTTAAATGCACCAATTTAAAAAACATAAATAAAAAAATCGCAGTTAGGGAGTTGCTATGGATGCTCAGATTCCCATGGAGTGGTTCTGACCTTTGTGGATGCAGAGGATGGGGGTGTAGGTGAGCAGCAGCAGGGCGTAGTTCAGGAAGCTCTGCAGCATCGGCGTCTCCACCCCGGCGTCGGCCAGGTACTGGCAGCTGCCCGCCGTCCCACAGATCAGCAGGGACAGGACCTGCCCCATGGCGATGGTCTTCAGCAGCCGGCTGCAGGGGGGGGAGAGAGAGAGTGTTACAGTTTTATGTTTTCAGGGCTTGATGTTTATTTTGTGATTATCAATTAGATTAGCTACTGCTACTACTGTTAAGTTGTCAAAGTCAAGATAGCGTAACTGAGCTACTTTCCTCTCCCTCACCATTTTTTGCTAATTAAAACCTTTTCCTGTCTTTTGAAAACTATTCACACCCTTTAACTTTTTATTCATGGTGCCAAAACCAAACATGCAAGTATTTCATTAGTATTGTATGCGAGAAACTAACACTAAGTGGTGTATGTCTGTGAAGAGAAAACATTAATTTTTAAGTCTTTCCTTGGTTAGTTAGATCTGTCATGAACATGTACACTTGCTGTGGCCATTAGGGCTGTAAAGTCCTCTCAGTTTGCCAAATATGTAACTTTCATGCAGAGCACAATGCAAAATCTGAATAAGAGTTAGAGGACCAGCAGCACAAGATAAATCTGACAAAACAGTCAAAGAAATATTTTACACACAGTAACTAAAAACTGGAGATAAGACCGACAGAGCGCTGCTCACCATGAGAAAATGTCCTTCAGCCTGTCTCTGTCCAATCTGCAGCCGTTTCTCCATTTGCCACACAAGCTGTCCTCTGTGGGCCCCTCCATCACTGTGACAGCTCAGCCTGGCCCCACGGGATTAAACTGAGTTAATGTCATTTTTAGTCATCTTCATCTGACAAGCCGAGCAGAAAATCAGACAAATATCCAAAAACCCTGGATCCTTCTCACAGAGGGAAAGAAAAATTCTAATTATTTTTTTCCACGATGGAAAAACATTCATGTAATTCTGCAGAAAATGCAGAAAGGACCAAAGCAAACAATCTATATCATGTGGCTCCACTGGGAAACTTGAAAACACTTCCTTTAAATGATAAGTTTTCACTTTCACTCCAAATGAAATAAGCCGATTGTTACAGAAACCCTGGTTGAGCCTTACAGTTTGCATTATTCCAGTTAACCAGCTTTAACTATCTGTCAAGAGCCGCAGAAATGTTAAAACTGTTACTATTTCTGTGGAATTCGTTCCAGCTGCTCTACACACGAGCCAGGCGGCGTTGATCATCTCTGTGTTTTTAAACAACTCTCGGCTAAAATACAGAGAAAACTTTTTTAAAAACGTGAACGTGAACGAACCTTCTTCGCCCCTGTCATCTCATTTCATTGCTCGGATATTTCCCAGACGAAAATATTGGTTGTATTTCAGCTTTATCTTCACACAGACGCCTCGCAGGACCAACTCACTCTAACCGCGTGTCACTAAAGCCCGCCTCCTTCGCTCTGATTGGTTGAAAAGTAGCTATAAGACGCGTACATTATTCATTCATTGGTTTAGGGCTGCTACTTTTCCTGTCTGCTTTTAATATGCAATAAATATGATTTGGGGAAGTATTTACCGCCAGACAATTTTTTGGTCATTTTTACTTTAGACATTTTTCCATCATGCTATGAAAAGAACTATCAATAAATATTTGAGCATTTTATGAAAGAGATTTGATTAATTAAAATTAACTTTTGGAATAAAATAAACTATGTTTCTAACTGGTATTGTTCCAGTACCTTCAAAGAGCCGCTGTGAATGGTGATGCTGTGGGCAGGAAGGACCTCTAGTAGCAGTCAGTCTCCCAATGGTGTGAAGAAGCCTCTGGCTGAAGACTTGCTGTATGACAGTCTGATAGCTATTGTGACACGCTAAGAGCTAAACATGCAGGCAGCAGGAACGATATTCCACTGAAACCTATCGTCAGTGAACAACACTAATTGTTGGCCAGCTCACTGATGGAAAAGAAATGAGAAATAATGACATTTTATTATCAGCTTCCTTGGCCTTCAGTTCCAAACCTTGAGAATCAGTCAGGACTCTGATTTCTGATCCTCCGCCTCTTTTCAGGAGGACAAAGCATATTTTTCTGTGACATGTTGTGATATCTTCCAAGCAGGGATGGAGTCAAGGCCAGTTCTTCCCAGACAATAAGACAAGCCTGAATGGTTAGAGTTTGACTAAAATTTCAGGACATTGTTGTGGCTCTGAATGTTGAATTTTGTAAATCACAAGTTAAGAACACAGCAGGGAACATGTGTTTTTCACGTCTTTTATTTGTCAAATGTCCGATGTGATGACAGGAGGTTGAGGTAAAATGACTTTTTGAACACTTTTTGCACTTGCAACATCTGATAAAGTCAACTTTTGTTTCTATCTCAGTTGAAAAACATTTTTAAACTGAACTCATCAACTTACATTGCAAAGTAGTTGAATAGCTATGATAAATGTAAAAAACAAGCCTATTTGGGGTCCTGGCATTGAGAGTGAAATAGTATTTTAGCTATTTGAAAGTAACACCATCTGATGAATAATAAAATACAGCAAAGTGAAGTAAGTTAACAAGTTTGATATATTTCTCCACAGTGGCAGCAGCCAACAGCAGGAAGATAATAACTTGTTATTTGGGAAACAACTATAAAAAGTTCCACATGTTTTTCCATGTGGAACAGCATTTAGTTTGTATTTTTAAACATTATTTAAAATATGCATATATATTTATTATGCTAACCTGGTGCTCTGGGGTCATATGCAGCTGCTTAACTTGCATTGCCTTGGGCCGGCTCTGCACAGTAGACTGATGGCAGAAGGTGTTTGTTTAACAGCCCTGCACAATTCCCAGGCAGACTCCTATCCTGGTGGTGAATATTAATGCTACCTGAAAGCAGGCCGACTTAGAAATTACCCAGGATTTTGAAATATGGCTTCAGTTTTCTGAAAATTCTCCTTTCGGTCTCAGCAGCTGTGTTGTTTGCGTTGTGATTATCTGTTCTGTTGTTTTTCTACACAGATTGAAATCCCTCTTGCTGACATGGGAAAACTTGACCCAAGTTTGTCAGACAGAGCAAGGAATGATAACAAACACTGAGGTGCAGACGGAGCAGGAAGTTCCCCTGAGACTGTTATGATACGTCCTGGTTCTGATCCGACTCAGTGGGATCTGTGTGAAAATCTGCCTGTTGCAGCAACACCTACCAGACGGTGGTGAGGGAAAAAACCCGGGTCAATCCCTACATGGAGGCTAGCAGAAGTTCAGTTTCTATCTATTTATTAAAGAAATGCCACAATTGATGATAGCACTGTGAAAATGTAATTACACTCCTCTATGGATTTCTGCTGTTTTTATATTTTTTACATCTGATTAGACATAATCTATTTTATAGTTTTTGGGCGACCCGTCCCTTTCTAATGCCTCCCTGGGCAACTGCCCATATCAGAAACAACCATCATTGAAATATTATTTTAGTGTGAAAAATGGTATTTCAAAGCATGATATAAACATTGCACACAGTGATACTGCGATGACGATATATTTGCAGTACATTGTGCAGCCCTCTTTGGATAGAAAACATTACAACAACAAGTTTGCTATTTAACACAAAGTGCAAGTGTATCTCATGTATGTTTGGTTAAAACATGTGAAGTTACTGTTAATTGGTGTAGGATTCAGAAATTCAACTCAAGTAAGAATAACGGTATTACAGAAATCAATATAAAAAGAACAGTGACCTAAAGCAGCTTCTAAAAGTATTGCTTCCCCTAAAATGTGACATACCAGCTCGTTCCGCTGTGCCAACCTGAAACATCCGAGGGGACTCGAACGCAGCATATTCCCCCCGCCCCCCACTATTGATGTTCACGCGAGATTTTCCGAGAGGATAAGTTGAGGGAACATGGCGGCGCCGTCTAATTTGCTGAAGGTAGGAACCTCTATTCAATGATGTGTTCTGTCGGCTGACTGCAGCGGCTGTCCGGTCCGCGGTACCGCAGCGGTTCCGCTCCGGGTTTACCGAACAGCACCGGGCCATAGCGGTGCTGTCAGGGCCGCTGCTCCAGGTTGGAGCAGCTAAACTGAGGGGCTACAGCACAGCTAGCTGTGGGGAAATAAGGCAGAAACAACGGGACCCGGTGGGAAACAGAACCTGGTTCTGAATGGGAGTCTCTGCCTCGGTCTCCTTCTGGGCTGGTCAGGGAGTCCTGATCCGCTGTCATTGTGCAGATGTGGCGGTTCTTCCAGACCCAGCAGGAGGTCCGTGCATCAGCTGTCAGCCTCCTCATGTTGTCCCTGATGAGCTGAATCAGAGATGAGGGTTGGTCAAAACAGATCATTTCTTCTGAACAAGTCCATTTATGGAGCCCTTCATCCAGTTTAGGCAAGTTTATTTGTGTTTCAGCAGCAGAACAATTCAGGTTGTAAATGACAACAAACATTACAAGAGTAAAACAAAGACAAGCAATGGAAAGTTGTAATCCAGATTAGAATCAGTTAATAATCCAGTTTTGAATGAAAAGCGGCTCTGACCAGGCGGGATTTGGTCTAGATTTAAAGGAACTCAGTGTTTCAGCTGTTTTTTGGATGTTTGTTCCAGATTTGTGGTGAATAGAAGCGGAACACTGTTTCTCCATGCTTTATTCTGGTTCTGAATGCAGAGCAGAGCAGAATCAGAACCTTGAGAGGTCTGAAGTCTGATCCAGCAGCAGCAGATCTGTAATATATTGTGGTGCTAAATCATTCAGTGATTTATAAACTACAACACTTTAAAGTTTATTCTCAGACCTGTGAAGACGCTGCTGCAGGAATCAACAGGACAAACACTTGGATGAGTTTCTCTGATTCTGGAAATGTTCTTCAGCAGATAGAAGACCCACTTTGGAAAAATCTTTATGTGGCTCTGAAGGTTCAGGTCAGAGGTCAGCCTAGATCTATAAACATAGATTTATAACAATAGATCATTTCCTTTAGGCTCAAAGATAACAACTTCAGTTTTGATTCTGTTTCACTGCAGAAAACTTTGGCACCTCTGTACAATTATGGATATGAATTTAGTTTTTTACTTTAAATTCATTAGCAAAAAAATGTGTCTGCAAATATGATGACTTTCTAAAGACCCAGGTCAAGGCAATTGGTACCAAATGAAATTCAGTGACTTTTATCCAATCAAATTAAGCTCCTTGGATCATGTGACACCAGTGGGCTCGTCCACAGTGTGTCTATTAAGAGTTAGCTGGTTAGCGTCTCTAACCAGAGCATCTGCAGGTAGATGATGCTCTAGTTGTCAGTAAAACATTGATTGCTTTGGCCTGGGTCTCCAGAAGGTCACCACGTTTCCAGTCAAAGTTTTGCTCGTTTCATTTGAAGTCGACGTGGTCAGGAACAGGTGGATGAGGGCTTCTGGTTTAAGATGCTGCAGTTATGAATTAAAGTTTTATATATTAGTGACAATAAATTACGTGAATACATCTGACATAAAGGGAAGAGTGCGCTGTAGTTTGTGCTCCTCCTCTGTCTGTCTCCAGAACAAAGGCTCCCTCCAGTTTGAGGATAAATGGGACCTGATGCGCCCCATCGTCCTGAAGCTGCTGCGCCAGGAGTCCGTCACCAAGCAGCAGTGGTTTGACCTCTTCTCGTGAGTCTTCTTGTAATTCTCACAGCTTGTGTTGCTTCCTTTGGGCGCCACCTTGTGTCTCCTGGTTGTCCCTGCAGGGACGTCCATGCGGTCTGCCTGTGGGACGACAAAGGACCCGCTAAGATCCACCAGGCGCTGAAGGAGGACATCCTAGACTTCATCAAACAGGCTCAGGCTGTAAGGCGTCCTGCTCGTCTGTTTGGTTAAACTGTCATAATAATTATGTTGTTATAACAGAAAATCTGCTCTTAAAGGGACGGTATTATGAAAAATATATTTTTTTAACTTTCCTTCATGTTATGATGTTAATCCCTCATGAACAACACCTGGAGAAATCCTTTAATCTCCATGGCAACAATTCACCTGCGCAAAACGCCTGGGTTGACATAGCCCCGCCTTCAAGCTGCATCTCCTTCAGACTAGCTGGCAGCAATTGGCAAACACCCGCTGAGCTCTTTATAGAAGCTACTTCTCTGGTGAAAATGTTAATAGAGGGGCCATGTTGATTCAGAAAGAGCAGGAGTTCTTAAAGAGACAGAGGCCCAATTTGAATCAGGAAGGAAAATAAGTTCTAAATGATATAAGTAGTATTTTTATACCGACTGAAGGAAACATAGTTACTGAAATGGCTCGTTGTGCCGGTAAGACATGGTGGTGTGTTTGGTCTGGCAGCGGGTGCTGAGTCACCAGGACGACACGGCGCTCCTCAAGGCCTACATCGCGGAGTGGAGGAAGTTCTTCACTCAGTGCGACATCCTGCCCAAGCCGTTCTGCCAGCTGGAGATCACTCTGATGGGCAAGCAGGGCAGCAACAAGAAGTCCAGCGTGGAGGACAGCATCGTCCGCAAGGTGAGCCGCTGTCCGGTTCCGACCCGGCTCCGGTTCCGAGCCGTTGTCCTGACTCTTCCCCCTCCTGACCGACTGCAGCTCATGCTGGACACATGGAACGAGTCCATCTTCTCCAACATCAAGAGCCGACTGCAGGACAGCGCCATGAAGCTGGTCCACGCCGAGCGGCTGGGCGAGGCCTTCGACTCGCAGCTCGTCATCGGAGTACGGGAGTCCTACGGTGACAAACTTCATCATCTCTGCTTCTGCTGGCTTTTCCTAAACTCACAAACTGTAACGGCCAAAAATAATGACTCAGTTTGGTTTTTAGATCCGTTTCCACATCAACAGGAGTATATTATTCATTTTGAGGATTCTCTCTTACAGCAAGTGAAGGAAACCCAAGTTCTGCTTCTCAGAGAGTCAGAACCTTACATCATCGGGCCTGTCGCTATAATCAGTCAGCAAATAATGACGCTTTTAATGCAAGACCACATTTTCAAAGATCAATAAACTTTAAATTCTTATGATCATTTAATACTACAACTGGAAAAAATTTAAATATCCTAAATAATTATACAAAACAACAGAAACAACTAATGAAATAAATTATAAAATCTTCAAGAATAGGTCTTCCTGAGACCAAAACCTTACATCATCAAAAACTTTAATAATCCAGTTTTTGATAAAGAGAAAAACAATAAATGATACAAATGGAAGTTAAGGAGCTCGTTTTTATTTATTGTACAATTAATTGATTTATTGTTTATTGTGACAGTATCTCACGTTATTTAAACTATAGGAATGATTTAATTTTGATCTTTGAAACACCAACATGTCCACATAAATGTGTTTCTGCTCCGTCTGCTAAATAATTTTTAAACATTAAATGATGTTGTGATCAGTTTTCAGGAGCCTTTTTAACAAACACATCTTTACTCTCCTCTGAGTCATTTCTTGGTCAGGATACTTTTTACTCTTACTGGAGTCAGAAGATGTTGAAGTGGAGTTACTACCTACACAACTACTGGCTGACATTGGATAAATACAGTGATGGCTTGCCATAGAGTTGTCATAATATTCCCTTATGGCTTGCCACAGCTCCAGTTTGAACACTCATAATGATTCCTTGAGCCAAACGATCTTATTACTGCATTAGTTTGGTGTGGAGTGCTTCAGGTAACACAGCTAAACCAACATGTTTATGAGATTCTGAGCAACAGAACCACCTGTTTAACGGGCCGACGTGATTGGCTGCTGGACTCCAGGTGCTGCCCGCTGCTCTGTGACCTTTTTAATCTCCTGTTGTTCACTGATTTCTCTCTTTGTTTGCTGATTTTTCTCCATCAGTGAACTTGTGCTCTAACCCCGAGGACAAGCTGCAGATCTACAGGGATAACTTTGAGAAAGCGTACATGGACTCCACTGAGAGGTTCTACAGAACCCAGGCGCCGTCCTACCTGCAGCAGAACGGAGTCCAGAACTACATGAAATACGTGAGTTCAACACACGAAGCCACGAATTTACACACACTCATTAAAAACTTTTTTTTCCCTCTTTGTCTGAAGTTAAATCAGGACAAACTTTTCTTCTTTCAGGTCAGTTAAAATGATCAAAATGATTTCTATTCGCCACATGTCAAAAAACTTACTGAGGACAGAAAGTTTTCTGACTTTCATCTAATTCAGAAGTTTTACTTCAGTCAGACTTTTATGGTTTCCTTCCACTAAGATCTGATATGTCAACAGACACATTTGAGTTAATTAGTCACTCATATTTACGACTTTTAAACAAACAAAAGTCAAAAGAAATCAGAAGAGAAGGCAAGCAGCTAACAACTAAAACAAGAAAAGTTTTAACTTCAGACACAGAAAAAAAGTGTTTGCGATGGCTTCATGTTTGCTGGGAGACAACATGGTTCTGGTTTCTGTCACTGGGTTTTTTGGTTCTGTAACTGGTTTTCTGCCCAGGCGGACTCGAAGCTGAGGGAAGAGGAGAAACGAGCGGTAAGATACCTGGAGACGAGACGCGACTGCAACTCCGTCCAAGCTGTGAGTTTTACCTCCATATTTTATTGATGAGTCATAAAACATCTTTATGAATGTTATGAAACGTCGTTACTGAATATTTCCGATGTGCCGCCAGCTGATGGAGTGCTGCGTAAATGCTTTGGTGACGTCCTTCAAGGAGACCATCTTAGCCGAGTGTCCAGGCATGATCAAACGAAACGAGACCGACAGTGAGTCCAGAACACAAACGAATCCGTGGGACTTTTTAAAATTTTTTTATTATCATTAAACTTTATTTTTAATTCCACTGAGATTAAAAATCTATTTTGCTAGAGAATCCACATATTATCCACATATTATTAGCTTATCCCGACCATAATGCTGTGGTTGGGATAAGCTAAGTGTGGATCAGAAACAAAACGTCTCCGGAGGTCAAACACTGCAACCAACCATGATATTAGTGATCAATTTTTCTGACAATCATTTTCTAATGATTAATTAGATTTAAAAAAATTGGCACATTCCGCATTATTTTAATATCACCACAAAATATTAAAGATACATCAAAAGATGCAAATAAAGAAATAATTCATTTCATTTTTCAAGTGAAGAAAATAAACATTTTATTGCCTAAAATACACTAACAGCATTTCTGCAGTGAAAGCTTCATCATTTGTAGTAAAGGATGAAAAATCCTTCTGAGGATGTAAAAAGCCTCAGAAGGATGTAAAAAGCTCTGATTTGCTTGCTTTATTTTAGTTTGAGTAACCAATTAATAATTGAAAGCATTGATTGATGCTTAATAATTGAACTACTGATCACTTGAATAATTAATTAATTGTGATCAATCGATTCGGCTCTTGTGCAGAGGCTTTTTTTTTTTTTCAGCAGCAGAGCTTCTACAGCTTCTCTGAAACATTTGAGCTAATCCTGTGTTGACCTCTGACCCCCAGAGCTCCGCCTCATGTTCTCCCTGATGGACAAAGTCCCCAGCGGCATCGATCCGATGCTGAAGGACCTGGAGGAGCACATCATGAGCGCCGGCCTGGCCGACATGGTGGCGTCAGCCGAGACCATCACCTCAGTGAGCGACACACACACAGGAAGTTCACTCTGGTCTGGGAGGCTCCACCAGTTCCACCAGTTTAACCAGTTCCACCAGTTTAACCAGTTCCACCATCAGATCCAGAGCAGAACCAGAAACTTCTTCCAATCTGTGAATTCACTCAAACTAAACTCAGTCTGTTTTGTGAGAGAATTGCAATATAAGATCATGCACACAGCAAAACACTAAATGTTACCCAAAAGTATTTCATTTTTACTTTTATAGATAATATCTCAGTGCAGACAAAACTTTCTTTGGAAAGTGTTCACTGCAAAAGTAGAAACTCTTGACCCGCTCAGGTCCAGTCGGTGTTTTCCTGCAGGGAATCGTCTTCCAGGTGTGACTCGTAAAACCACCTGGCTCATAAGAACCGACTGAATGTGTCATAATTAGGGGCCGTGAGGGAAAACATGGAGGCTTTGTTTCCTTTACAGCAGAATAAATGTTTATGGTTTAAAATGTTTTCTGCTGCAGGATTCAGAGAAATATGTGGAGCAGCTGCTGACTCTGTTTAACCGCTTCAGTCGGCTGGTGAAGGAAGCCTTCCAGGACGACCCGCGCTTTCTCACCGCCAGAGACAAAGTCAGGTTCCCCTAAAAATGACCAAATTTAATCATTTTTAAAAAGCGGCGATGAGGTTTTCCTTTGATGCTTCCTCTCTTCCAGGCATACAAAGCCGTGGTGAACGACGCCACCATCTTTAAGCTGGAGCTTCCCATGAAGCAGAAAGGGTAAGAGGACCCGCTGCTACTGGCGCTGCCCATTGGGCAGCGCTGACCTCTGACCTCTGACCTGCTGCTCACAGGGTGGGGATGAAAACTCAGCCGGAGTCCAAGTGTCCGGAGCTGCTGGCCAACTACTGCGACATGCTGCTGAGGAAGACGCCGCTGAGCAAGAAGCTGACCTCAGAGGAGATCGAGGCCAAGCTCAAGGAAGTGGTGAGTCCACAAGTATTCATACCCCCCAGCCATTCACACACAGCTGTTTGACACATGGCCTAGTCAAAGTCCAGAGCTAAATCCAAACTGCCGTACTCAGATCCATCCAGGAAAGGAGTAAAATGTTCAAAGTTGCAGCCAGAAGAGTCTCTGCACCCAGGAGAGCTGAAAATAAATGCACTCCACACTATTCAGATTGTTTGGGTGGAAAATAATCAATCATGAATCTTTATCCTCTGGTCGATCCTTCAGAATCTGATCTGGGTCATGAAACGAGCCGGATGTGATCCCTGAGCAGAGCTCGGTGTGCTAACGACCCGTTTCCTTTGTGCAGCTTCTGGTTCTGAAGTACGTCCAGAACAAAGACGTGTTTATGCGGTACCACAAAGCCCACCTGACCCGCCGCCTCATCCTGGACATCTCGGCCGACAGCGAGATCGAGGAGAACATGGTGGAGTGGCTCCGGGTACCACACTCAGCCGGCGGTTCTGATCAGAGCGGGTCTGCCGGTCCGTACCTGACATTGTGATGTCATCTCTTCTGACAGGAAGTGGGGATGCCAGCAGACTATGTCAACAAGCTGGCCCGGATGTTCCAGGACATCAAGGTGTCCGAGGATCTCAACCAGTCCTTCAAGGAGATGCACAAACACAACAAGCTGGCACTGCCAGGTAAACACAGCCGCACAGAACCAGAACCGGGCTTTGGATCGAGAATGATACACTCCTATTGTTCCAACAAGAACAAAAAAAAAACAGGCTGAATATTGAGTGAGGGAGCCTGGAGGGGGCGCTCAAACATTTCATAAACCTGCAGCCAGTTCACATCAAAAACTTCAAACTATATAAACCATATGATGAAGAGAAAAGAAAATATTTTAATTACTTTTGGGAACCATGCTGACAGAGTTACCAGGTTTTACACGCTGCCTGTTTTTACTAGGCCACAACTGTCAGTCCAGTGGTGGACTGCTAGCTTAAAGTTAGCTGCCCTAGCATAGATTATAAACATTTGAGCTACTAAAGCTAACGCACTATAGCAAGAGAGTTTAGCTGAAGCTAATGCTACAGCAATATATCAAAATACCTCCAGTATTTAGTTGAAGGTAGTGCTAAAATGTTATAGTTTAGCTACAGCTAAGAGCTGCACTAACATAATGTTTAGTGGAAGCTAACCTTAAAACATTATATCAGCATTGTATTCAGTGGAAGCTCATGATAAAGCATTTTACCAACAGGATTTTCAGCTGGAGTTAGTGCTGAAGTGCTACATAATATGGTCCTTAGCAGAAGCTAAAGCTCTAAATTCACCCTTGTTGATACCCAGCAGGTGTAACCAGAGGAGCGTGGCGATTCTCTCAGAACCATAAAGTTAATTTATGTCTGGATTTGTTTAACTGCCACTGTTAGCGCATGTCAGTGTTGTATTTTTCTGTAGCTGTACGTCTTACATCCTGTAACATGAGGCGCAGAAACAGAAGACAGATTTCCCACCTTGAAAATAAAAGCATGAATATAAACATCCAACTACTTGAGGAGTATTCAGGTAGTTGGATGTTTTACAGTCGATAACCAACAGAAAATTCACAAATCAGCCAACAATTAGAACGTTAGAATGTATTGGGAAATTTTTATCGAATGGGAAGCTAAGTGTGCTAAAGGTTTTCAAAGCTAGCACAGCTGACCGACGAATTAGCGGTGCCATTAGCTTAATTGTGGTAACTGGTGCAGGTGTTTTTCTGAAGCTGTTTGCTTCCTGCAGCGGACTCGGTGAACATAAAGATCCTGAACGCGGGCGCGTGGTCGCGCAGCAGCGAGAAGGTGTTTGTGTCTCTGCCCACGGAGCTGGAAGACCTGATCCCGGAGGTAGAGGACTTCTACAAGAAGAACCACAGCGGCAGGAAGCTGCACTGGCACCACCTCATGTCCAACGGCATCGTGAGTGCAGCCGACCCGCGCCAGACCCAGCAGAACGCTCAACCAACTAACCCTCAACCTTCCTCACGCCTTCAGATCACCTTCAAGAACGAAGTGGGCCAGTATGACCTGGAGGTCACGACCTTTCAGCTGGCCGTGCTGTTTGCCTGGAACCAGCGGCCCAGAGAACGCATCAGCTTCGAGAACCTGAAGCTGGCCACAGAGCTGCCCGACGCCGAGCTACGACGGACTCTCTGGGTAAAGAGCCGTAACGTTCTGTGGGGTGCTGGGTTTGGATTGGCTGACTCGGTTCTGGTCTGATCCGTGTCTTTCAGTCGCTGGTGGCGTTCCCCAAGCTGAAGCGCCAGGTTCTGCTGTACGACCCGGCGGTGTCCTCGCCCAAAGACTTCGCAGAGGGAACGCTGTTCTCCGTCAACCAGGAGTTTTCTCTTATGTAAGGAAGCGGAGGGGAGGCGGCTCAGGGCGGCGCAGAGGGGCGGCGGCTCACAAGATGCTCAAACAGGAGCAGAGAAATGTTCAGGAGAGTCCGACATTAAACACTGAGCGTAATCATTACCAGACAACACAAACCAAACAGAGTTAGTCTGATGCAAGTCAGAAACCTACAGTGAATTTAGTTTGATTCAAATTAAAATGTAAACTACATGAATATATATTTTAATGATTCTGAACCTTAAAGCCTAAGAGAATCACATCATATTGATAAAGAAAGGACTTTTGGAAAGGAGAGTTAAGTGGAAGGAAAAACTCAACAAGCAACATCTAGAATAATACATATTCCTGTGTGTGGAATAAATCAACAGACCCAATGAAAAGTATTCACCCCCTGGATATTTTACCTTCATTTACATACCTTTTTAAAAAACAGCTGTGATCATCAAAAAACAACAATCCTTTTAATGTCACTTTAAAGGGAGCAAATATGCTTGTATATATTTTTTTTAATTTTCATTTATAGAAATCAGTTTTCATTTGTGAAGTGTTTGTAAAAAAAAAAAAAGTCAAATTTTGTTGATCTGGATTAATTTCTGAAAGCCATAAAAACGGTAAACTTTGCAGGGAGTGAATACTTTTCGTTCTTCTGATGATTCTGGTTGTTGCTTGTGGATTTTTCTTCTACTGCAGTTTTTCCTTCCACTGAACTCTCCATTGAAATAATAATTTGTTATAGATTTGACGTGATACTGTGAGGACTTGAGGTTTGCTTTCTGTTTTCTGTAAGTATGAATCACCAAAACGAACAGAAATAAGCACATTAAATGTGTCACGATGCATTTAATGACTCTAGTTGAGTACCGCTGTTCAGATCCACAGATCTTCAGCTATACTTTCCCTGAACAGAACAGCTTCATATGTGCTCAGACGTCTACAGTGATTTTTTATTTTTATTTTTAATGTTTCCAGAAAAAACTCAAAGGTCCAGAAGAGAGGAAAGATCAACCTGATTGGTCGGCTGCAGCTCACCACCGAGCGAATGAGAGAGGAGGAGAACGAAGGCATCGTCCAGCTCCGGATCCTCAGGACTCAGGTAAGAAGGACCAGCATGAATGCACATGTGGACATCAGCACAGGGCATTCTGGGTTAGCACAACTAAAACTAATGTGTTAGCCTGGCGCTAGCAGGAGAAATGGCTCGTGGTCTTTGGGCGAAGACTAAAGAGAATTCCTCCAACACTAAAGACTGATGCCTCCATTTTAGTTTCTATTTGGTGAAGAAGGAAGCTGCGCTCTGTCTCTTCAAAGGTTTGCATTTCGTTTTCTTCACTGGTTCTTGGTGCAGCGCCCCCACAGGCCAGGAGGGGAACGGGTTTGTTTGACTCGGTGCAGAGAGAAAGAACCACAGCAGCTGGAGATGGAACAGATGATGAAGTGTTGATTCCCAATCAAACTGAGTCTATCGTGCCGTGCTTCCACTCAAAATGCTTTAAATTTGACAAGATGTTATTGTAGCTCGTGATACAATAATATCACGCGAACATTACAAGGTTGTCTACCTTGTGTTGCTGAATTAGTGCGACTTAACCTCATGCTGAAATCCTGATGCGTTGCAAATCACAAATATGTCTTTTAGGCAAGTAAGATGAGAAAAATATGACTTTAATGAGTAACTTTAATCTGTTGCTTCACCTCCTCTCCTCCTCTTCCCATCCTCCTCCTGCAGGAGGCCATCATCCAGATCATGAAGATGCGGAAGCGCATCAACAACGCCCAGCTGCAGACGGAGCTGGTGGAGATCCTCAAGAACATGTTTTTACCACAGAAGAAGATGATCAAGGAGCAGATCGAGTGGCTCATAGACCACAAGTACATAAAGCGGGACGAGACGGACATAAACACCTTCATCTACATGGCGTAGCGCCGTCGGGTCTGAGCTTCTACTGGGCTGGGCCTGATGGACTCCAGAACATTTCCAGGACTCCCAGACTGCTGAACAGAACTTTGTTTACTGCAGGGAGGCTGAGTTCAGAGGAGATGGAACAAACTTCCTGCCTTAAACCTGTACACAGAAAAACAGCAGCAGAAGAAGAAGCTGCGTCTCTGATGCCGGGTCACCACAGGTTCTACGGAACCACGACTGCAACTACACTCCTGGTCCGGGTTTGAGGAAGCTGCGGAACCTCTGCAGTCCGACCCAAATTCAAACCACTTGAACTGAAGCGCTGCCATGTTTTCCTCAGAAGCGATGCTGCTACGTGACCCGGTTGCTCTGGTTCCACACGGTTCTGATCCGACACGATTGGAACCGCTGCTCGGATTCATTCTGGGTCATCCTCAGAGAAACACTTCAAAGGTCAAAGAGGTGCTGGCTCCGCCCACGCCGGGGGCCCCGCTGGCTCCGCCCACGCCGGGGGCCCTGCTGGCTCCGCCCACATCTGGGTCCTGCGCTGCAGAAAATCAAATTTTTTTTTCAAATTATTCTTAATTTTTGTGTTTTTCATCCACTTTTAGAATCAGAAAATCACCAAAATTAAAACAGAATTAATTCCTTAAGTTCAATTCAGAACTCAAACTGAACACACTGAAGTTATTCAAGCCTTTATTTCTGCTAGTTTTCATAAATTCTCAGATAATCACATCTGACCTTTGCTCTTCAAAAACACAGTCTTACCAGAAAGCATTTATTATAATATCTCAGTATATCTGAACTGAGACAAAAGTAACTTTTTTGCAACATACAGCAGACGTTTTATGTCAATAATTCCTTAATATTGTGTGAATATTTCTTGTTCCACAGGCAAATTATTTCACATAAAACGTGAGGAAAATGTCTTATTCATTGAAAGCAATCCCCTATATCTTGCTGCAAAGGTACTTTTGTGCTTTTCTGTTTATTTCAAGTGTGATAACATATTTGCATTTGAAAAATACTTTTTACAGTGTCAAACTTAATGCAGAACATTATTCCTACTGAGAGGGTCTGGACTGCCTGCTCTGCGCTCCATTTGATTTTCTGCATCAAAACGAACAGAAATAGAAGCAAGAAATGGCTCAGTGTGTGTAATAAATATTAGTTTCACTAAATCAGTTTTTAAATGATTTTCTGATTTATTAAGAAGAGTTTATTTAATGAAAGCAGTGATAAACGGACACGGTTCTGGTCTTCGGTGAACTGGGTTCCATGGTGCGTTCCAGTTGCGCTAAGAAGTCCGTTCAAAGATGGCCGCTGCAGATAGAAAGCAGTGACAGCTGCAGAAATAAACAATTTATTTTCTTTCTGTATTCTAATTAAAGCAGCTGCTTTTCTGGACAAACTTTTAGAAAACCGGTCTTGAGTTTTTCATAGTGGCAGCCATTTTGAAATGACCTCTGAGTATCCGAGACCCAGTTCCAACTGTAGCAGTTCGGTTGCCGAGTTTCAGCTGAAACTAAGAAATCCAGAACAACTTGAATGCACCATAACTTAAATAGGCCATATAGAATCAAATTAAACATTTAATAATCAATAATGGTGTTAGAAATACAAAATCATGATTTGATCATTTTGAGTTAATTTAGATTAAATCAATCTACGTTTGTCTTGGTGCTTTTATGTTTTTTGTTTAGCAGCATCGAAACCATCTGTGGGCGAAATGGGTTTGACCCGATTAGGTCCGGACTGGTCCAGAGTGAAGAGGACTCAGAGTTTAAGCAGAGGCTGAAGCCTTAATATGGAGATGACCCTCAGTACCTGGGGTCAGAGGGCAGAGCCAGAGAGGGCGGAGTCAGTCTCCAGGAGGCTGAGGTCAGTGTTACAGAACCGATCCAACGTATCAGGAGCAGGGGGCGGGGCCAGATGTAAACAATGGAATAAATAAATAAACAGCACCTTATTATGAGATATTGTACAGGTGTGTCTTTGATCGTGGCTCAGAGAGCTCAGGTTGGTTCATGTTTCATTTATTTATTTATTCTCTGTTTAGTTTCTCTTCACCTTTGAAAATGATCAAATAAGCTGTTTTAGAATCAATCCAATAAAAACTTTGCTTACAAAAAAATGCATTTTGGGTCCAGTGCTTCAAAAACAAGATATTTTGACATAAAATGGAGTGATACTTGTGATTTTCAGTGAAGCTCTCGGTGCATCATTCTGGAGAATCTTAACCCTCTCCAGGCAGGTGTTGCAGATTTGCAACAACTTAGACAGTCTTTTCAAGTAATTTGAGCCTGAGAGGGTTAAGGGCACAAGATGTCTGGAGCTCTGTGGCGACTGACTTCACACTGTGAGCTTCAGCAGCTGCTGATGGTCAGTTCTCATCATTTGGATGGGTGAGCAAATACTTTTGGTAGTATAGTGAATCTTTAAGTATCTTCAGTGAAATGATGGAGGTTCATTTGTTTTTGCAGAATCTGGTCTTGATTCTCATTCGATCCCCGAAACAGACTTGGACACAGTTTACCCTGGAGCTTAAAGAATACATCAGAAATGCTCAACGTTCCCCAACCAGTAATGTTGAGCATTTCTGATGTATTCAGCACCGAATAGACGGTGCCATCTACTCAGCACTGACCAAATGAAACAGAAATGTTATGACATTATAAAGGCTTCGCTCTAAAATGTGTGTCTGATTTTCAAACTTCTTTGTGCTGCTCACTAAGTGATGTTTCATCCATTTGATGCTGAACTTCAGCATCCATTTGCTCTAATGTAATACTTTACATTAGAGCAGGAAACCGCTCTTATGAAAGGACATTAACAAATAAATAAAATTAAAAAAACAGGAATGCGTAAAAATAAAGATTAAAAGTGATAACATAAGGATAATGCAGATCAAAATTAAAACAATCTGAATAAATGAGTGTCGCGTAGATTTTAAAATCAACAATGAATCAGTTTGTGAAGCTTAAACAGTGACAACTTCAGGGAAGTTCAGATGATGGTGAATCCGACCAGCAGAGGTGAGGCTGACGCTGAGGCAGGTTCAGGAAACTGAACTGAAACTGGAACTGTTTCCATTCAGGTGAAATAGTAAAAAGTGCAACCTTAACACCAACTCTGACAGATCATCAGCAAAGCATTTAAATGATATTACTGTTTTCTGCATGAACTGTTTGATGTAGATTTTAGTTTTTGTTTACTTTAATGACAAGTTTAACAAATTTTAAAACAAAAAGTATGTTTAAAGTTTTACTGGAAATCCATTATTTCCAGAAATAACTACAAGAGTAACAATCTGACGAGACAACAGACATTTGTTTTCCAGTTATGTGACAGTGGATATAATTAATAACAGATGTTTTATGTAATCAGAAACTGCATATTCTCCCAGGTAAATTTACAAAATAACTTTAATCCCCAAATAATCCAGAGCTGGATGACATATGCCTCATCTTCAACCAGAATTAATATTATTATTATATATTAACAGTATCAGGTAATACTTACATGTAATAGTTCTTGTATAAAATATTTATTATAATTATTATTATTCAGGAGTGACACTTAAGACTCGGTGTGAATGGTTCACAAAAAAATGTGTGAAAAGTAATTTAGTGATTTCATTATTTTTGCACACAGCTCTTTGGTCCTGGTGAAGTTTAAAGTTCTCTGGAACAAAATCAGGATGTTCATTTCTGATGTAAAATAAAGAAAAAACTGAATAAATAAATTACTTGTGGTGTTGTTCTTCAGTAAAACCCATGTCATGTTTTTAGACTGAGTTCAGGAAAAATATCAACTAAACAAACTGAACTATGAATATAAAAACGACCAGCCAGGAAATGTTTCTTTTTCTTGCATTTTTTGCTTTATTTTTCATTTCTGAGGCAGAGAAAGCTACATTAAGGTCAGGTGGCAAAAAACAAAGCTATTAATTTATCCTAATTCTACAAACATGTGGAACAAACCGATGAAGATACAACTACAAAATTACATCGGAGAGCAAATTTGATAAGAATTTTATTCCAGGCCAGTTATTTCTTTTATCCAATCCATGTATTCACACACATCTATAATTGCAGGTGATTTCTGACATGGATCTATTCCAGTTGCAGAAATTACACCGTAAATCATGTTGTTGTACACTGCTGCGGCACCAGAGTCGCCCTGTAGAAAACAATTTGTATCAATATGTTTTTTTGTGTTGTAAAACAGAAAAGTCTTCTAATCAGTGTAGAGATACTGAAGAAACACACTTACATGACATGCATTCTTGTCTGGTGCTGAAGTAAGAAATATGCGCCCACGTGACACCAGGAACAGGAAAAACGCATCAACTCTCATGTCGACACACTGAAGACGTGATGGAACTGGAGGAATTTTGGGTAATGCAGAGAAACACAAGAATACTAAACATGTTCTTCAATTGACCTCTGTAGAGACAGAAGCAAAGATTTTATTCTCATAACTTCAATATTTCTCTCACATTGCTTATTATTGGGGTCGTTTGTCATTGCTCCTTCTCCTGCCAGCTGAACTGTATCGCCTCTAAAACACAATAAGAATAAAATGTAAAAATACAAGATAACAATGTGGAAAATTAATTGTTAGGAAGAACAATGAAAGAACAAGAAAATGAACCCATGACGGTCTTCATCCACTGACACAGGAGAGTCCATCTCCAGTCCTCAGTGACTGTGTCCTTCGTCCTTTACATGTGTCTCTGGTCCAACACACCTGATTTAAATGGGTTCTGATTCTGCTGGTGGCCTAGTTACCTGACTCAGGTGAGCTGAAGCAGAGGCAGTAGGACGGAAGGAATGAAGACAGAAAACCTGAAGTCGTGTTTTTAATCAGAGAAAGACTTACACTCTAAGACGAATATCGCATCTTGGCAGCCGAGCAGGTGGGACGTCTTTTACTGGTTTACGAAGCTTCAGCAACACGATGTCATGCCACTCTTTGTCATGAATATACTTCACAGGTTCAACATTGAGCCTTACTTCAATCTGCTGCCCAGCATTCCCTGGATGAACTTTTAACATTGCTACGTTAGTCCTGCAGAAAAGGTTGGACTATAATGAACACACAGAAACCTGATCACCTTCAGATAAAACTGTGTAAAAGTCTCTTTCCTACCATCCTGGCTCCGACATCCAGCAGTGAGCTGCAGTCAGAATCCACTGAGAATGGATCAGAGATCCTCCACAGCGTATATTTTCTGCATCTTTCTTGCACTGCAGGCGAACATGATAACGACGCTCCCCGTCATCACAGTCATAACCTCCAACGATTCTCTTCTGCAGAGAAACATCTGATTTCACTGAAACACCTGAAGAAGAAAAAGGAGGACTTTACCCAGAAATCAGGTGCAAATTTGGCTACTGGAACAGAAAAGGGATACAGTTAAAAATTAAAAAGCATCACAGTTTATATCCAAAGAAGTTTATGTCTGACACAGAATCAGAGGGAAATTTGAGAGTCACAGAGAGCAGCAGCCTCCCTGGAACCAGTGGATGTGTCTCCAGTTTTTCCAGTATGTCCGACTCACCCAGCCCCAGCAGCAGCAGAACCTTCAGCATTGCCATTGCTGGTCCAGCTTTCTGTGAATGACTGCCGACTACAGCAGCTTTTAAACTCTGTTTGCAACTTCCTGTTGGATAGAAAACCACCAATCACAGGACGGACACTGATCTTTACAGTACTCTTGACTGTAAATTTGATGAAATAAACAGATTTTCTGAAGAAAGAGCAACTTGTCCTTGTTTTTAGGTTGATGATTTTTTAAAGAAAAAACCTGGTTTCCAATTTACAAGAATTCACAGCTGCCTTTGCAGTAGAATAATTTTGTTTATTGATGAGCTGTGAAAATGACTCTCGATATACAAACAGCAAATGGTTTGTTTATTTTGTTGTTTCTTTTATTTAGAACAAGAACACTATCAAAATGCTTGGTGGTGAAGAGCATTTGCATGTGTTGTAAACACAAAATTACAACAAAAAATGTAAACTCAGAAATTAACCCAATTAAAAGAAAATTATTCTGACATTTATAACACATTTAAAAGAAACTTAGGATAACATTTTAACTGATATGATCCTTTTTATTAAACACCTCTATAGTTCCTCATGATCTTTGCTTTTACAATTCTTTTTATTGCTTTGGTGCATTTGTGAAGAGCTGAGCAGCAACACTTTGGGTCAAAGTGACACATTGTTAGCAAAAGGCTCAAACCAGGCCACATTTAAAATTTTAAACAAAAGCAATATTACTCTCAGTCAGCCTTGAAATAAGCATGACAGCTTGTGATTTGACTAATTACAGATGTAATTACATATTCACCTGTTATTCAAATTAAAATTGCTTCATGTGGATGAAGTTAGTTTGTGTAATGAAAGTGGATCTAATGTGCTAATGAGGATCAAGTTAAGGACAAACAAATACAAAAAAATAGAAAAAGTTCTGAAGCTACATTGTGGAAAACAAATGACAAATGGGACTAAATTGTACTTCATAAAAGAAACTATGAATCTTGTGATATTACAGAAAACATAATATTCGTAAGGAACACTCTGTTAAGGACAGAAGAACTGTTTGTCTTTTCTCTATCTGTTTTATCTGTTCACACGGAAACAGCAGCACGCTGACATAACCATAACATTTAACACTGATGACAGTCAAACAAAAACAAAACCTGATTTAGGAAAACCAACATCTAGAGAGAGGAAGCAGAATGAGGAGAAAATAAAGCTGAACTGTGCTTCACTTGGTCTCATCCCTAATGTGAACTTAGGGGTGACGCCAGAGATCTTCCACAGCGCCTCTGAGGAGGATCTCTGGTTCTCCACAGGCCTTCCCTTCTATGACACTCTTCAAAAGAAATGCAAACTAAATATTAAAATCTATGTGTTTTGTGACTGAAATTTTAACAAATATTTTTGATTGCAACTTCATTCATGTTTTTAGAAAGATTTTCAAATGTGGACATTGGACAACAAATCAATTCCATCTTTAAGTTTTAATACAATAAAATTTGGACTTCCAACAGTAGATGAAGAGTTAAATTGGGTTATTAAATGTTTTATATTATCTTCTGTCCACCTTGGTTCATAATGTATGAGGTTTGAGAAGAGTCAGTGAGTTGAAATCATCAATCCCATTTTTAAGACTAAATTGCAGTCTTGGTTCATCACCATGTTTCTTTATGAGACAACACAGCAAAATAGTTTGTAACAACTATTTTGCTGTGTCTGATTCCTTCATTAGGTTTTCATCTTTGCTACACCCTAAAAAAGGGCATTCCCTAATGTGTCATTTCCTTTTTCCTTACGTTTGTATGTGTGTGTGTGTGTGTGTGTGTGTGTGTGTGTGTGTGGTGTGTGTGTGTGTGTGTGTGGTGTGTGTGTGTGTGTGTACATATGAGCATGCAAGCAGCTAAAACAGATAGAGGAAAATACAAAATTATTTATTCCTAACAGACGCTCTGATGGGCTGGCACAGACATCACAGAATCACAAGTTTCATGCATGTGGATCCTAAACTAAAATATGGTGGACCGTTCTTTCAAGGCGTCACATTGTTCATTGGCCACCCATACAGAACAACATGTCTCCAGTAATGGCCTGCAGACCTGAGTGTTGCAAAACCATGGACACGTTCCACAAAGCTAACCTAATGTGATACTAAGATTGAATTAATTAAACATAGCCATGAACATGGCTGAAACATTGAGTAAAAACATTCTAAATTCAATATGATTGACAAATAAAGTTGATCAAACATACAGTAATTAAAATATTGCCAATTGAAAGGAAAAGAGGAAATGGAGAAGTAAAGTTGCACCTGTGGAGGAAAAAGTTGTAATTAGGAAAACCTCCAGACATTCAGGGGCCCTCGAGACATTGAGTCTCTCCGCCAGACAACCAGGGACCCTCCCTGACATCCAGCTCTGGAGTGTCTCAGGGCTCATTGTAATTCAATGACTCAATGTCCGCTAGACATCCAAGGGCCTCTATAAATGGTTGAATTGTAACACAAGCCATAGATCTAAAACTGTAGCAGTCATCCATTGAGAATGACAATGCTATTAAATTTTATTAAATGCATTCAGCAGAATTTTTTTTGAATAAATATTACCTTTAGGACTTAATTAGGATGTTTTATTTGTAAAAATGCATAGGATCATGTTGATAGTTTGTGTTGGCATGGCTCCAATATGGTGTAATCTTTGTGTTTGAGCTGTGTTTGTTCACAAATACATCACAGCAAATGTTGCCCCCTAGAAGTATGTTATTTAAATCACTATTTTTTAAGTTATGGATAAAACATTTTTTATTAATTTATTCAATATATTTTATCTGCCAAGTTGCTTTTGTTCGGCCGCAGAAGTTTTATAGAATCTGAGCTGCATGTACGTCACTGTTTGTTTGTAGCAATTGTAGAGTCAGTTGGTGAATGGTAACGTTGTAGCTCTGAAAGAAGAAACTAACAGTTTTTCTACGCGTCAGCGCCCGGCTGCTTCAGAGAGAACGATTCCAAAAATATACACACACCGTGGGGAAAATAAAGTTGCCAAAACTGAAAAAGAACTCTTGTCTGTTTTGTGAGTGCAACATAAATTTAGTGTTTCTGCCCAGTTCAATTATTGTTGAAGTGAGACCAGTGGAAGAGCTACTTGAGTACCTTTGGCACTCCGCCGTGCCAAAGGTTTTCCGCTTTTTCCTCCCACAAGCCAAAGTTCAGCTTGTAGTCCTGTGAAAACACGTAACCAAAAGATGCAAAATTAACATTAAATCTGGGTTGACTTTTCTAAAATTTCAAACCGTTTTCTAAAATACTGTATATAATTATTTTTGTTTCTCCCCTGTCTGACAGCAATTTGAATTTGAATCCCGACCTGGAATTTACACTAGAATGTAGAAAGTAGAATGGTCAGACAAAAAAACCCTTTAAAATAGTTATTTTATGAGTTAATGGATTAACTCTGGTGCAAATGTTTACAGCTTTCCCCCCAAACATCTGGACGAATCCAGGAGTTTCCCGTCAGAGCTGGGCCATGACATCAATTCAAACTTTTTATTTCTGTATCACCAGTTCAGCATAAACGGCAGTGACTCTGTCTGTCTGAGCTCCGATGTGTTTCAATTATTGTTGAAGTGAGACCAGTGGAAGAGCTACTTGAAGAAGCAGTGCTGGATCTCGCTGCTGCAAATGGAACAGAAATTCCATATGAAGGATGGATAGGAGCTCATTTCACCTTGTCCCGAAACGATGCCTCTGGAAGGAGAGACAAGCCAGTCCTCGTCCCCACCCTCCAGTCTGGTGGCAAACAGTGGCCTTGAATGCCAGTAATGAAGAGATCTTCATTACTGGGACTATTTTACTCAAGTCACTGTATAGCACTTAAAAAGCACTATTTGCATTTTATTAACAAGAACTTTAAGCATAGATTTCCACATAAATAATTTGCACATAAGTTTTAATTGTATATATATATATAAGTGTGTGTGTATATATATGTCAATGTGTAAATATATATACACAGTACAGACCAAAGGTTTGGACACACCTTTCCATTCAATGAGTTTACTTTATTTTCATGACTACTGACATTGTAGATTCACACTGGAGGCATCAAACTATGAATTAACACATGTGGAAAGATGTACTAAACAAAAAAGTGTAAAACAACTGAAAATATGCCTTATATTGTAGTTACTTCAAAGTTGCAACCTTTGAAGTAACTACAACCGTCTCTGCTTCCTGCTTCTGTCCGCTCACCTTTACCTGCTTCAATTTCACTTTGTTCCTGTAAAAACATAAATTTTAATGTTTCTGAATGTTTACAGCTTTCCCCCCAAACATCTGGACGAATCCAGGAGTTTCCTGTCAGAGCTGGGCCATGACATCAATTCAAACTTTTTATTTCTGTATCACCAGTTCAGCATAAAACGGCAGTGACTCTGTCTGTCTGAGCTCCGATGTGTTTATTAGATTTTAAGGGTCAGTTTTAACATTTTGAGTTATTCTATTTGAATATTTGAGTTATTATATATATAAAAAAATTCCCTTCTCACCCACCGCGGGTGGTTCTTATCCTCTGAGCTCGGGTCCTCTACCAGAGGCCTGGGAGCTTGAGGGTTCTGCGCAGTATCTTGGCTGTGCCAAGGACTGCACATTTCTGGACTGAGATGTCTGATGTTGTTCCTGGGATCTGTTGTAGCCACTGCTCCAGTTTGGGGGTTACTGCCCCAAGGGCCCGATGACCACACGCACCACTGTGGTCCTCACCTTCCAGGCCCTCTCCAGTTCTTCCCTGAGGCCCTGGTATTTCTCCAGTTTCTCGTGCTCCTTTTTCCTGATGTTGCAGTCACTTGGTATTGCTACATCTACCACAACGGCTTTCCTCTGATGTTTATCCACTACGACAATGTCTGGTTGGTTCGCCATTACCATTCTGTCTGTCTGGATCTGGAAGTCCCACAGGATCTTAGTTCTGGCGTTCTCCACCACCTTTGGGGGTGTTTCCCACTTTGATCTCGGGGTTTCCAGTCCATATTCTGCACAGATGTTTCTGTACACTATGCCTGCCACTTGGTTATGTCGCTCCATGTACGCTTCCCTGCCAGT